TGAAAAGTGCATTTATTGAAACCTGATTCCAGCTTTGTCTGGATTGCAAGGGCCTTTCTAGCCCAGTCTCTGCCTCGTGGTTTACAACCGCAAAGCCCACTGAGGAAAGAGAGCTGGCATAGCGCAGTGCTGCAAGGAGAGTCTTTTCCAAGCCTAGGAGCATATGGATTCATCGCCAGGAAAAACACAAGGCTTGGATGCCCAATACCCACTGAACAGCTTCAGTGTGCTAGAAGGACAAAGGTATGTTATGTATATAGTAGTTAGAGTTGAAAACTTCTAGCACCCATGTAGATTTTTGTCTCAGACTCTCAGTGCAGGGGTGTACATTTTTGAGACATCTCTGCCCCTTGCAGAATGGCTGATTTGGGATAGTTACCTAAATCAAGGAACTGCAAGAGCCTCTCATAGTATTGTGTTTGTAGGTACATCTGGAGGGGAGGCTGAGACAGCCATGTTCATGCACAAATAAAACATTAAAAACATCCCGTAATGGAAATAGCAGACAACTGTATGCTTGTTTCATACACTGAAAGATGTCTTCCTACCAAAAGTGCTTTTCCTCTCTGAATAACCCCTGGAAATTGATGCAGCCTTTCTGGTTGTAGCCCCTGCTGAGCATGTTACTCCTGGGAGTTGTGTAGGTTTGTGCACAAGGAGGAATGGGATTCTGAGTGCACTCAGAGAGAGGCAGCACAGCTTTCTCATCAAATTCAGCTGAGGCAGCTCATTCCTGCTTGTGTATGGGAAGAAGCCGTTTCCAGAAGAGAGAGGACATCCTGGGAGAACATGAAGATTCAAGGGTAGTCCAGAATACACAAATAACAGAATATGATAACTTGTTTCTGAAGAGTGGTACAGTTGTGGAGTAGGGGCTTTCTCATGTCAATCTCTGAATCTGCCTCCTGCTGAGTTGGGAGGCTCTGGAGAGGCCAAGGCACCTGCAGGTACCGAGTTCTGTATCTTGTACTCTGGAGCTTACCTTGCTGCCTTCAGTAGCTGAATAACTGATGAGGAGGATGTAGCTGGTGTCTACACACTCTACTTTAATGTCTACTGCAGTAAGAGTTGTGCACTGCCATCTGCCTCTATGCCCATTCCCTGGGTACAGCATGCAAGATCTCCCTTATTTTTTCCCTGCCAACACAGCATACTGCATCTGCTGAGATTAAGATACAGGCATGCGAGTGTAAGAGAGAACTTCTGGTTTCAGACTTGTAAAAAAAGGCATAGAAGGCCAAATAAATCTGTGGCTTTGATTGATTTCTTGATATCACAAATATCAGGAAACGTTATTTATTTCTGACTCTAGGATCATATTATATGAACAGAGAAAAATGATATCTTAGAGTTTACTGTCCGTAGTGGAAGGCATCATGGTACGACAGTGAGCCAGTACTGATGAAACACTGCTCCTTGTATGCAAGCAACTTTATTTTCTAAATTATAACCCCATGGTGTGGGATCAGTTTTCAGGGTTGTGCTTTGCTATACACTTTGTGGCAAGGCCAGTTCATGGACAGATTGTCACTGAGGATAGGAATGAGGATGCTGGTCTCAGAGTTTGTTTAACATCCGAGTAACCTACCCTTGATATAGGAACTCTAATATGTTACTACTTTATTTGTCCTTTCAGTTCCTGCTGTTGTTGCCTGTAAAAACCAAAGCAAGACCCCTAATAAACTCCTGGTAAAAGAAGAATTGGGAGGGGATGAGCTATTCTCATTATATAACAGGCTTGGGTTGACTGTATGATCACTATTCAGCCAGCTGTATTTGATTGAAAGTGGTTACACAAAATCATCACTGGTTGATGTTCCTACACTGTCTGTTAAGGTGTTGTTTTCAAATTAGTGATTGCTTGTTTCACTTTGTTAAACTGTTTTGTCTCTGGATGAGGGTGAGACCTTCTATATCCCTAACTGAAAGCTGAAGGACTTTTGTACTAGAAGAGCAGGGTGTTCCCATCCTCTATGTTGCCTGCTAGGACCCCCCCCCGAGCCAGCAGGTCGCTGCTCTGCAGTGCTGGGCAGTGCTCTGTGCAACTGCCCTTGCTTCTGCCATGGAAGTTCAGCCTTGCTGACTGGCAGTTCATGGAAGTTTTCTGCTCAATTTAATCCTTTCAACCGATCAATGTGATGTGTGGTATTGGGGAAGAGGGGAGTGAAGAGAGGGCAGTCTCTTTGGTGTCGCCATCTGTTTCTGTATTTAGACAAGGTTCCTTGGGGAATTTGATTTTTAGAAAAAAGGGCTGATGGAAGGAGATGCACAAAAACAAACTTGGCCTTCCAGGAAATGGGAGCTATGCTGGGCAGAAGTTACAATAATTATTTGTTTTGTGGTTCCTTTTCTGGATGTATCAGCATGATATTCCTTTTGGAAACAACATAACTATTGAATTTATTCTGCTAGGCAGAGGCAATTGCTGTTGTAAAAACAGCTACAACATCAAAGTAAACTGAAGTAAGTAGTTCTGGGCAGCCGAAATGCCACAGTGCCTGGTAGCTTCAGCGTGTTGCCTTCTAGTCCTTAACAGCACACAGAAGGATCTGCCATAAGCTTGTGGAGTATTGTATAAAAGAACTACATCTCCTTTTAGGAGTATTTGTCAATGCTTTTGCACGTGGACTTCTGCTGGGAAAGGGGTCTGGGTCAGTCTGGACTTTCAGATCATTTCTACATGTTGAAGATACCAGAATGATCCCATTGTTCATATCCCTTCTTTTCCCCTTTAAATGGTATCTAATCAATAACAGTGTCCATACCCACGGAGTGTCACTTACTTGTGTGTCAGATTAGCAACTGCATCTAGCTCCAAATTTATTTCCAAGCTCAGGGAGTGGAAAGTCTGTCTAACCTGGACCCCTCTTGTCTTCATGGACCAACCATATAAGGTGCTGTAATCATGACACACTCCTAATGGTGGGGGGTGCATGCCATGGCATTGGGGTGCAGCGTGCATGGGAGGGTGCAGGCTTGTCTCCTCATTAAATTGCACTTGCTTCAGGCTCTCATCTGTGCAATCCTGGGTTACTGGTTACTGGTGCAGGCATTGAAATGCACTGTTGGGGATGTTTACACTAAGTCTCTTAGAAAATGTTTTCTTTCATCCTGCTTTCCCAGTTGGGAACTCCAGACACAGCCTTGCTGTTTTCTGACTCTTTGCTCTGTACTGTGGTGCTAGTAGGACTCTTTGGTGAAACCAGCAAAAATATTATCTTTTAACACATGTTGCTGTTCATATGTTTATGCAGAATAGTCAGAATGTGATTTGGGAAATGGATGATTTCTCAACAGCAATGTCTTGCCTAGATGCCTCAGGACACTTTGTCTCAAGCATCAAGAGTTTCAGAAAATGTAAGATGATGTCACAAAGACCTCTATATAGTTCCTCAAAATCTGTATTCAATGCATGGTTTATACCAGCTCTCTGGGATCTTAAAACTTGAGTCTGTAACATAAGATTAAATTTTTTCTGTTGCTATTGGTCACTGGCAATGGTGGAGTAATCTTTGCACACTACCTGTGAGTTTAGGTGCTGATCAGATGCACTGGTGCTTTTCATTCACTTGGTGAGGGGAAATTAATTTGCTTGATGTGGAAACTCTAGACCAGAACACAACAGTAAAGCTAGAATTATGTAGGCCTTTTTTAATGTCATTAAACCCAGTTCCTGTATTGGGAGGACTGGAGGTTGGCCAATAGATGTATCTTCTACAATAAGGAAAATCCAGGGTACTAAGGTGTTTAAAGTGACTCAAGTAGTTTAAAAAAACCCACCTAAACTAAAAACAAATCATTAAAAATAGAATTAGCATTCCACATTCTGTATAATGTAATATAGAAATACTATTCCATCTCTTCAAACATGATAAGCCTACAAGCAAAGAGCTAATGGTGCTGATGGGATTAAGAGGGTAAGAAGGGCTTTTATAATCAATAACTTAGGGGCAGAAAAAAAAATTAGGAAGAAAGTAGGTCTGTGAATCGATGAAAGGCAGGATGGCCTTAATATAACTCAACAGTTGAGCACTTCGGATTTTTCGCTGTACTTATCTAAGCAGTGTTTATGTGATTTCTATGGGAAGACATGGAATGGATTAGTTTGCAATAACTGAAATGTGATGTGACATTTTGCCTAATTCTGCGTAATTGCAGGTCATGCTCACCCTGATTTGCATTCATGCTCCTGCTCTTTCCCTTGAACCAGGTCCCACAGGCAGACAGGGCAGAAAAGGCCAATTCAGCAAACTTACTTTCCCTACTATTTTGGTAGGCAAGCTATGAGATTTACCTGTCCTGCAGATCCCTGCCTATATGTTACCAGAAATCTGCCTTTTGCTTAGACTTGTCTTGAGAGACACTGAACAGTTTAAGATGTTGTAGTGTATGTGAAACCATATAAACATCAGTGCATATACACATCAGACATCAGGGCCATCATATATACATCAGTGTATGTATACATTAGAGAAACACTCAAGTAATTTCATTTACCAAAGGAAACTTTTGCAAGTGTTTGTAAACATATCTACTTAGCTGTGCCCTGATGATTTCTGAAAGTGTTTTGACTTACAATGATGCGTGGGTGTATGAAATTGTAAACATGCTTTATTTATATTTTCTATTATTATTATTGTAGCATGACTTTTAATGACCGGATATTCCAAGTTTGAAAATATTTAGACAGTCAAACCCACTATTCTGTGTGTCTGTGTCTTCCCATGATACTTTCTATAAAAATTGGTGTTTCCTTACTTTGGTTTCCACATGAAGCTGAGTAAAACTGCTTTTTCTTCTGCTCGTGTTACATTAAAAAAATCAAAACTGATTTTTCTGAAAATGTAAGTAGAACTTACTTAAAAATTTTAAGCATCTGTTGCTTAGAAGCAGCCTCTGAATAATGCAGTTTCCCCCAGCTTTCCTTAGGTGTTTGCACTCCATGTGCAGATCTCACAGGCTCCAGCTCTTTGTAATAGGAGGTCTTCTGGTTTTTGCAGGGTGCCAGGGTATGGCTGCGGGAGCAAGACCAGCTGCAGCCATGCACTGTTGGCTTGTGTGCCGATGGAAACGTGCTCTTCACCTCAGATTATGGCACGGTAAGTGAAGTTTGCACGAGGCTGTAGCCTATGCCAAGTTACAAGATGGACTTCTTGGTTTTGCATGACCATCATGTTGAAATGTATCAATTGAAATGCTGTGATTCTGTCTGAAAGTGACCAGGCTCTGTTACAAACTATGCCAAAAGTGTAATGAAGGTTAAAAAGAGAAGATTGTTCTTCATTTGTCTGCCCACCTCACGTTTCTTGGTTTTCTTTGTGTCATCTTTGAAGGAGTTGCATTCACAGCCTAGCAAAACTATTATATTGGCTAAATGCTCCTGGGAAGGAGGCAGCTCCACCAACTAAGCAGCCCTTCCTGCCAGGATGTACTTGTTGCAAGCTGTGCCATTGTAAGAGATGTTGTGTTCACCACCGTCTGCTTCAGCAGCTTTTGCCGTCGGCCCTTTGGGTCAGGGACACGTGGCAGTGGCCTCCCTGTGTCAGTCAGTGGTGTAAATGCAGCAGTGATGCCCAGGACAGTTCAGCAAGGCAGCCAAGCTCTGAGAGCAGAGCTCTCTGACAGTGGTAGGAACAAGCCTCTTTCCTGCCTGATTTCCAGCCCTGTGCTCCTTGTGGTTCCCTGGTGCATCTGCTGTAGTGCTCGTGGAATAATATTGGTAGGAAGGGATCTCTGGGGATCGTCCAAGTCCTCAGTGAGTCAGCTGGACTGGCTAACCCTGGGAAAACTATCCATTGCCTTCAGGGAGGTTCTTGGTGAGTCAGACTGGTGCCTGGTCTCTGAGGAGGATGGGGAAACAGGCAGGACTGTGCCCTCCAGCAGTGAGCAATTAGATTTGCTCAGCTGTGCTGGTGAATGGGGCTCTGCAGGTGGCTGCTTTGTTACAGGAAAATGGACAGGTTTTCTTCAGCCTCTTACCTGGCAAACAAAGGAGGGTGCAGGGGGAAAGGGGATTTAGGACTCCAGTTAGTGGAGAGTCAGTTGTAGGACTGTCATATTTTTCAGTCTTCCTTTGAAAGGGCTGGATTTCAAGTCATCGTTCTTTTTTAAAGATCCTGTTTTGTTTCTCAGAGATGGAAACTCACCTAGCAAACACAACTTTTTCATCTGGTTACTGTAGTCTCTCAAATTCCTTCTTGGGGATCCTTGTTTTGGAAGTGCTGGATAGTCAGTAACACATTTTAAGGGATCACAGGTACTGCAGCAGCCTCTGGAGGGACAACAAACAATGAGCATTTCTGTTACTCTCCTAGTCCTGTCTCTTCTGATATGCTGCTGTGGCCTTGTAAAATCCTCCAAACCCACCTAGCACCTCTGAAATCTACCTTACAGCCATCTAAGGGGGTGCACCCACTGCCAGCCTGTGTCCTGTATATAGACAGGCAGACGATAGACACAGGATGATGCTTGATGACTCACAGGTATAAAAAAAAGCTGAATTTGGGGGGTTTTTCTCCCATGAAACAAGAAACCACTATGCTGAAGGAGCATGTGCTTCACGGCTTATGCAGCAAAAGCACATGGTGATCATTAAAGGGCTTTCTATGTTCAGTGCCCCCCACAATAGTTGTCCTGTGTGCTTCCCTTGCCTGCCAGCTTCATTGATTCATACCTGTAGAAGGGACTGGAAGTCCTACCCCAGGTGAAAACTCAGATAAAAACTTCTTCACTTTGGGTTGAATGGACTGTTTGATGCCTCTGGTTTTTAGAACCCCTAAATCTAGTTGTCCTCATCTTTGCTGTGGCCCAGCATACCTGCAGTTCTTGCAGCTCTAAGATAAGAAGTCCAGTCCTTCAAAGCTTTTGTAATTCGTTTTCACTTCCTTTAAAACACCTCAGCAATAAATCCTTCAGAAATGTGTCTTCCTGGGAGGAAAGGAGGAGCCAATGCTTACAAACACAAGATTTGAAACCTTGATACAGACAAAACAGCCAAATGCTTTATGGATAAACGTAATTTGGATGCCAGGTGGGAGCTTTGCTTATGTGCTCAGGGTGGCACTGATGGATGGAACTGAGTTTGAGAAGGAATCATTTCTTCTTTGCTGAGCCTGGTGAGCAGGGCTGGCAATCTCATCTTGGCTTGTTTGCTGGCCAGGTTTTGCTTTATTCCTAACCATTGCAGGGGCTTGCAGAGAGTCATGGTCATTTTGTTCTGACTGTGGGCTAAACCTGAGGCAAAATAAGTTTCTCACTGGGAAGAGAGTAGAAATCTTTGGCTGTGTTGTGAGGTGCCTGTTAGACTGAAAGCTGATTGTTTTCCTTCCCAAATAATAAAGATCTCCTTATTGACACCTATAACTTTGTGTTTTACATATTAGCTTGTTGGAAAAGGGAAACTCCAGGGGCAACTTTGCTGAGAGATCAGTTTGTCTGAGCTCTCACTTGCTTCAGGAAAAATCAGCTATCATATTCAGCTCAGTAGTGCTGAATGACATTCTAGCATACCTTACCTGGAAGAGGATGGTAGAGAGGATCTTCCAAACTGCTCTCCTGCTGCATTTCTAGAAGGGTCCAGAAGTGAGCAATAGGGTAACAAAAGCTTCCTTACTGGGGCTCTAAAGGTGGAGCATCATCTTGTTTGTGTCTCAAATCTCTGAACTCCTTGAAGAAAGCCACTTTGACACAGTCTTGGGAACAAAAAACCACTATGTGTCTGTCTCCAGGACGGTGGATGATCCCTGCAGCCTGTTGGTGATACAGAGACTGGAAACTACTCTCTACCTTGGAGGGCAGAGAGTAAATTAATCGTCAGCTTTCTCCTGGTGCAGGGAAGATCTGAAAACTCTCCCGCATGTCGCAAGTGCCTTGCAGAGGCACAGAGACATCACCTCCCAAACCTCAGTGGGGCTGGAGGCCCCAGCCTCTGCCTGAGAAAGGGTGAGCTGCTAGAGGTGCAGTGATGTGCAAGGGCATTATGTGAACCTCTGCAGCCTCAGGGACAGACAGGTGACATCTTGGCCTCAGCTAGGATGTCAACGTGGCATCACATTGCTCCTCCAGGGAATATATTTCACCTCTGCAGTGTTTCTGTCCAGAAGGTACCAGAATCAATGCTCCTAATACAGCTTTATTGCAGTCCTGCCAGAGCACCTGCTTAACTCTTTATGGATATTGAACCAGACTTTTTTTAGAGAGGGATGACTGAATAACACCAACCAAGTGGCTCAAGACAGGTTTAACAGGTGATTAGCTAACCCCTACTAATTATTTACTTGTGTATTTAGGACTCCTGTTGCTCTTCAAGGTTCCATTTTCTGCCACACTGTCCACAGGAGCAATGAAACAAGCTCTGACCCATCACTTTTCATGCACAGCAGCCTCTTGGCATAGGGGCTGCCAGCTGCCTGATATCTTTTAGGACACTTGTCCACTCAGCTTTTTCTCTAAATGTTTTCTTAATGTTTCTCTTCTGGCCCAAATGGCCACAAGGGCTGACAAAGCAGTGGTAAATGAGTAAGTACCAGGCAGATGTAAGGAAAGATCACGTCATGCCGTTTTTTACTTATCCCCTTCCAAAATTTGTCCAAGTCAGCAGAGAAGAGAGAACCAGGGTTGTTTGCTGCCTCATAGTTTGGAAGTGATTTTGTTCCTGACAGACTCCAGTTCATGTTATGCATCTGCAGCTTGTACTCTTTCCTGAATTTAGTTGTCCCATTATCCCTTCCCACTCCTTCAGTTTTCTTGTGAAAGTGCCTGAGGTCTCTGCTCTGAAAAGGGAAAAAAAAAAAGCATTTTTTTTCAGGCTATGCTAGCAGAGTGTCCTACTGCTGGCAGTCATACCCCTCTGATACCCAAGTGCAGAATTGGTGTGGCAATGACCAGAGAGGCCTGGAGAGAGAGCCTGTCTTCTGGACTGGGCTTTGTTCTACACTGTTCATGAACATGAACTATGTATTTTTGAAAGTCTCCTGGCTGGTGAAAAAAATTGGGCTGTGGTGCAGTCTGCCAGTGGAAGATACCAAGCCCTTGCCACATTAGATGCGACTGGGCAGACCTGGGATGAACACACCTGGGGGAGCGAGCCTGCTTCTCCCCAGCTCCCTCCAGGACCAGAGCTGCTTTTCAGTTGTGCAGGCATCATGGCAATCTCATAAAAGGATGCTGTGCTGGATTATTCTTGCCCTGCACTGGCTCAGAGCCCGGAAGGGGTGTTTGCTGGGCACCTGCAGCGTGCTGCAGTGTGAGCGCCCTGCGAGGGACTCGCAAGGGTGGCTTGCTGGAGGGGGCAGGGTGACCTCATTCTGTCTGCAGCCTGCAGCTGCAGAGATGGCCTCTCCTTAGCAGTTACAGCAGCCTGAGCACACCAGAAAAGCAGGCAGGAGAAACCAGTTAGATCAATGCTATAGATCATGGTTCATTCTCTGTGGAGCCTGTCAGTCTCTTGCTGGCACCCAGGAGGGCTGACAAGCAGGGATGGAAATGAGGTAGAGACCAGAGCCCCAGAAGGGAAGGAAAAACCCAAGTTTCTTTGGAAGGGTTACCGTGGACCAGTTTCCTTCTCTAGGCTGCCTATATGAAGTCTCCCATCTGTCTATCTTGGGTCTTACCATCTAGAACAGCTTTGGATGCTGGGTGGGAGATGGCACATGGTTGAATCCAAGAGTGGGAAGCAACTGAAATAACTTTTGTGAAATGCCAGCATCGTGCTTGAGGAGGAGGAAAGGAGGGCTGGGATGTGCCTGTGGTGGAGGGGAATAGTAACATAATCTCAGCTGTGTTGAAAGGGAATGAAGAAGATGACCTGATAAATGAAGAGTGGGTTATTGAGGAGGAGGAAGCTCTAACAGGAAGAAGGGTGCAGCAATTGAGGCAAGAAGAGTGCAACTGCACAGAGAGAGAAGTGGGTACTTCCCAGAGCAGTGATAGAATTTAATAGGTGTCACTGTACAAATATTTTGAAAGCTGTATCATATACGTACATGCCAGCACACACAGAGGATGTCACTACTTTATTTGGCTTCTCATCTGCTTTCTTTTCTTTGCTCTTGACATGATAACCTCTCCCACATGCTCTCTGGCTGCCTCTATAGTGAATGCAGGGCCAAACCTGGAATGTAAATAAGCTTTGCCTCTGCTTCCCCAGTCAGAGACATGATCCCATCTGTGTTTTTTGTGAAAGACTGTTCCTGGTCTCATGGGAGCAGCTGCCATCAATATTCACAGTCATGAGTGGGGTATGTAATACCTGTGCAGCCTAGTACAGCTGGAGGCCGGTGTCCTGTTCCTGTTCAGGAGATTTCAGTGGAAATCAAGTAACCTTGCACTGATTTGTCCTCATCAATAGTGAAGGTGAGAGATTGACTCTTTGGCAAAAGAAGGGAGTATGCTGTATGGTTTCTGGCCAAAGTGCTCAAATACGTAGGGACAGGAATGGAAGGATACCAATAAGAGGAAGGATCCCTAAAAATAGGGAGCAGACCTGGGCCTTACTCATTTCATTTTCCAGTGCCAAAGTATAAAGGTGCATGTTTCTGATAAGAAATCAGACCATGTGCCCAGGTATCATGACCTTATTTGTCCTTTTCCCCATTCTTCCAGGTGTTCCAGTACCCCAAGGCCTCCCTTTCCAGGGAAAAGGTCTTGCCAATGCACCAGACCAGCACTGATGGCGTAGAAGACATGTCCATGCTGGGAGATCTGCATGAAGCTGCCATCCTGCTTAACCTGCACCAGCGCTACCAACAGGGTAACATCTACGTAAGTGCGCAGGCTGGGCCACATCCCTTCTGGCTAATGGTTTTTGTTTAGCTTCAGGGCTGCCACTTTGCATGTGAAATACTGATGTTAGCCTTGTTTCTTGAGTATTGTTTCATGTGGATAGGAATTGGAGGAGATTTTCTGCCTTGCCAGCTCCATCATCCCTGTGAGATAGTACCCCTACCACAAGGGCCTCTTTGCATCTATGGAAGAACTTCCAAAACATGAATGCAAACCTGTTGCCTAATTCTTCTGCTTTTACATGCAATTGTGCCTTTTTTTAATTGCTCTGCTCTCCTTGCACTCAAGGCATCTCCTAATTTCTCTCTCAGGCCCTCAGGAAGGAGACAGGTGTCAGGAAAGGGACTTGTGAGGAAAAGCACACCTGGGATGAGGCATCCCTGGAGTGCTGGGACGGCACATTACTCCGTGAGACTTGGAGAGGACAAGAAGAATATATTAGGAAGACTGCCTTACCTTGCTTTATTCTTACCTTCTTTGTCCATGCTATGTGCACACAGAATTTTTCAGATTATGACAGAAAAAATGTAAATCTTTTTCTGTGTTGCATAGCAACTGTTATCAAGACAACCAGACCATGTGCACCTGTATTCCAGGAAATTATCAGTAAAGTGACCCTGTTTCTGAACCGTCTTCTGCACTGGATGCAGAAATTCTCTTTTTTTTTTTTCTTTTTTGCTGTAGGACCCCTTGCCTGTTATCTATCAACACAGCCTTGTGACCCTGTGACAGTACCCACATGCACACACTATTTTGATGTCCCATGTCCTTGCTGCTCTTCTTATCCTGTGTTTGACACATGCTATGTGTCTGTGTAGCTCTTGGCCCATTTGAGTATATCCCTCCTGTTTCCTCTTCCTCACATCTTAAAATGCAGGGCAGGATTCTCTTCCTTTTCTATCTCCACCTTGTCCCAGAAATGCCACAACACCAGCACTGGGACAGTGTCACAGCAGCTATATCTCCTTAAGCCTTTCCTCTAGCTCTGATGTGTCATTCCTTCTCTTATTCAGCATTAGTTCTGTGCCTTCTCCATCCCTGCATAAAGGTGTTAAAGTTTAACACCTTTACACTGCATTTTTTGCCTTTGCATAGTGCATGAATGTCAGCTGTGCACTTCTCGTCTGAAATTTTTGGAGATGTATGAAGGGGCCTGACCTCTGCAACATGTTCAGCACTGGGAAGAGCCCCACAGTGAAGCACTGTAAGCCCCACTTCAGAGTGGGACTGTATTTGGGTATATGTTTGAGCACTCTCTGACCTAGAGGACACCAAACCATACCAGTGCTGTTTTGCATTTCTACAGCACAGACATTAATACTGCACTTACCTTATCGCTCTTTTTGGCGTAGCCCAGCTGCATATAGTTTTCATTTAAGCAGAAATTGAGAATGTCAGCTGTAGTGCCACCTAATGACTTGCAATGCTCTGTGAATACCATGAATGGTGCAGGGCTGCAGTTCATTTAGTATCATCCTCAGCAGTCTCCACAGATAGAACATAGTAGGCTGAAGTTGCAGCTGAAGCTGTGCTGAGAGGAGTTATGCCTATCAGTCAGGGACAAAAATATTTGGAAGAAAATCAGAGAGATCAGAAGTAGGTGAGAAATATAATTTTCTGGAAAACAAAGATCACCTGTAGGAATGGGTAACCTGGAATACTGATAACTAGTATTAAAAATAAGTACATAATAATAAAAATAATTAATGATAGGATGGACAACTGAGAACAGGAAGTGGACAGCTGCTGTGAAAAAATGCAGCTCTGAGCTGTATGCCTAGAGGCATCATACCATGAGCTCCTAAAGGTGATTCTTTCTGATAGAGAGTGTAAGTAGCAGTATATCTAGACTAGTGTGATATCCATAATTGATTTACTACAGCAGTAGCTTTTGTTTTCCAGATAAATACTATTCAAGCTCTACCCAATTGTTTAAGGAAATTATGTGAGCACAGCAACAGCCTGCACTTCTTAGGTGTGCATCTTCCCCCTTCATTCTTGCAATTCCTGTATTCTTTAGTAAAAGTAGACCCAACATAATGTGAGTGATGTAGAAATAAGCCAGGGGCCGTACTGCACCATTTTGTGCTGTCCTGAGCAATCCATGCCTAACGATCCAAGAAGGATTTATTGTCTTGAGAAGTAGACATGCCACATGCAGTTTGTCCTTCTTTGGAGACTTTGCTAATAGAGTAGCCGGTATGTATGTAGTTGATGCAAAATGCTACTGCTGTTAAAAACTGTGGATAGAAATTGTTGATAAGGGAATGCAGGTGATGAGGAGACTGCAACTGGAGATGGAGGAGTTTCCTAGAAACACCTTTGAAAGAGATGGCTATACTGGAAGAAGTTCTGGAAAGGACTTTCCAGAAGTTCTCTGGAAAGGAGCTCTGTTCCTTGGGGGAGCTGAAACTAGACTGGGAAATGCAAAATGAAGCATCTGAGAGGAGAAGATGCTCTGAAGGTCTGGGAGAAGAGTTAGAATGAACATCTCTGTCTTATAGTCTCTGGACAATGTCTGTTCCTCAACTGCTTGTACAATGCTTTGTCCCCAGTCCATGTTTTCTCACTCGATGCTTTCCTCTTTCCCTCCACCTGTCTGGCCAAAGGTCATCTGCTTGCTTATTGCTTTTATCACCAATGAATTATATTTCTACCCACAGAGGTACATGGCAGAGGGTCCTCAGGACTTAGTTCTATGATAGCCTGTTCATACCGATAATGCAATTTGGCCTAGGAGATTTTTTTTTCCCCTGATGATCTCTGATTGCTGCTTTAATAAATGAATTTTAAATATTTTGGTGACTACAGCATCTTATCCGTCTGGCTTCTGGCTTCAGCCACTTGGCATCGCTGTGGCCCCAGATTTCATTTGGCAGGATGCATTTTCTTGTCACCAAGTGTTTCATTTACAGCTTCTCCAGTGGATGCATTCAAATTCTTTTATATGTATGTAGTGACTCAGTTCATGATTTGGAAATAATACTAGATGTTGTGCCTTACCACAAAGCTTGGCACCTACTGCAGCAATCTAAGCGTTTCCTGCATCACCTCTGCTAAGAATGGGCATTCTTGGAGTAGAGCAGTCCAAGATGTCCCTGTGAGGGAGGCCACTGCTCCAGCAGCAGGATTTCAGATGGATGTTGATCATATTACAGAGCCATTGTTAGCAGAGAGGTGGCACCAATGCTCTGAACTGCAGCTCTGAGAATAACTGGATTTGAGCTGGTTGGCTGAACCGAAAAAGTCATGCCCCAAAAAACAAAATTAATTTCCTTCTGACTTCACAATATAATACATTTGAAATTCAATATTGGGCTCTAGATACTTTATTTTAAATCTTACTACCTCTTTTTTGAACTGTGAGATTTTCAAAATAAATATTTTCAGAATAAAATGTTTAGAAAATGTAGAAATGTTTTGACTTGAAATCCAGAGCTTCATCTTCAGCTGTCAATTTTGATTTGGTTTACAAAATTATTTAAGCTGCTCCAAACAGCATTTTTCAGCAGAAGAAAAATTATATGCTGTAGTGGTTCTTTGCACATGTATGTGCATATGAGTGTGTGTCTGTGTCGCACCTCTTTGTTGAGGTGGTTCTTGAACCCTCCCAAGCCCCCTCCACTTAAGACTGTGTATAGGGGCATTGAAGGTGTCTCCTGAGACTCCTTCAGTCCTGGTTGTGCTGTTCAGCTTCAAGCACAGCAAGATAGATGGGTATGAAGATGGCTTCATGTTCTTAAATTGTGTAAGCCTAATTTAGCAAAGATAACAGGATAAGAATGTTATATTGTAAAGCAGCAAAATTCAGAGTGCCCCATCCATACCCAATTGTGCAGCCCCTTCCCTGTGGTTTGACATTTTTTGCCAAACCGGGGAGCTCTCTGCCGAAGCTCAGCATCCTTATATAGGCTTTCTCCCTTCACCATGAGTTATTTCAGGGTCTGGGTTTGTCATGATCTTTTTATTTTTTTTCCAGGAGCTTTATTTCCTTGCTGTGTTTTGTTTTCTCCCCCTAGACAAACATTGGTTCCATCTTGGCATCAGTAAATCCCTACAAACCCATCCCTGGTCTGTACAGTGTGGATGCCATAGACCTGTACAGACAGCACCGGCTGGGTGAGCTGCCTCCCCATATCTTCGCCACCGCTAATGAGTGCTACTGCTGCTTGTGGAAGCGTCATGACAGCCAGTGTGTTCTGATAAGGTTAGAAATGAAGAACCAGCTACTCCCTCACTGCATCACACGCCTTGCTCCCGCTGTTCCATTTTCATTGGCCTCTGCCTAAATATCCACACCATCCCTCTTCTGTGCTGTGGGTGGGATGGTCATCAGCTCTGTCTGTCCTGGATTTGTAAATGAAATGTATGTTTTTTCCTAACAGTGGAGAAAGTGGAGCTGGAAAGACTGAGAGCACCAAGTTGCTGCTGAAATTCTTGTCAGCCATGAGCCAGACCTCCCTTGGGGCCCCTGCGTGTGAGAAGAGCACTTGCGTGGAAGAAGCCATCCTGGAAAGCAGGTACAGTCCACCCTCCTGGGCACCCAACGTGCTGAGTCAGCCTGCCTTTGGGGGGCCCTGCCTTTGGGGGCCCCTGCCTTTGGGGGGGCCCTGCCTTCTGGGCAGCCGGGCCATGGATGGAGCCAGACCTGAGTAGTGAGGATCACAGAGCTGAACGGTGTCACGTCAGGGAAATGCGAAGGTTGCGGTCTTGCCGGGATGCCTCACCTGGCTGCTCTCCCAGCTGTCCACGGATGGATTAGGCTTCTTTCCAACAGCAACACAGGGTGTGCATGGCAGCCAGAGAATTAATGCTCTACCTCTCGGTTGTGGATGTCCTCACACTGAGTGTCTGTCAAGGTCTGATTCCTGGTCTCCTTCATTTGCCCCTGCTCTCCCCTGGCCTCCATGTGTTTCAGGCTGCTGGAATGTCTTGCCCTCAGGGGTCCCATGGGCCTCCTTGCAGCTCTCCTGCTGTCCAGGCAACTGATATCACGGAGAACATCCATGGAAGCTGTAAGGGGCCCCGGGTGGTCACAGCTGGTCTCGACTGGAGCTGGCACCAGGGAACAACCAAGACCCACCTAAACCTTGGCAGGGCATCAGGCAGGCAGGGAAGCACATGGCAGCTAGATCAAACATGTTTGGGGGAGAAGTCAGCAGCCATGAGGGGATGGAGACATGCTTTGGGGGAAATCCTTCATGCCGAAAGAGGTCCTGACACCCCTGAGGGACCATGGCCCATGCAAGGGCAGGGACACCCCTGAGGGACAGGTGACCCACACTGGAACAGGTACACGAAGGAAAAAAGTGTCAGAAAAACCTGAAGAAGCAAACCGCAGCTGAGGAAAAGCATTAAGAGACAAAAAGAAGCAGAGAAAACAAGGAAATAGAGTGACAGAAAGAAGTAGTCCTGTGTGTGTGTCCCCAGGTTCCTGTGCTGCCTTGGGGAAATTATGAGGGACTGGGTGTAACCTGAGGTAAAAATGAAAGCTGAGGCTAAGAAAAGGAGGTCAGTAGGTGTTTGACTTTAGGTAAGCCTGGGGAAGAGGGAAGAAGAATGTTTAATTCAGTGGCTGTCTTATTGTTTGTGTCCTCCTTTTCTTTAATACCTGAATTCTATTTAATAAATTAAATTAAACAAAATTTCTCAGCACAAGACTGTCTTACCTGTGACTGGAGAACCTTGATGGGGCTCCTGCAGTTTGGTATTGCCAAGGTTGAGATTGTAGGTTGGTCCTAGCTGGAGCCTGTGATAGTTGCAGAAACCTCCAGAGGAGTAAATCAGATATCTGCAACAGGATCTAATAAGAATAAGTTGGAATCCTTTGAACTATCTGTGTGAAAGTGACTTGCATGCAAGTGGCATATTTCAGGGCTCAGAGAGTAGAGAGAAGGAATGTTTCCTGGAAGATGGTGATGCAGAAAAGCTACAGGGAACTGTGGGGAAAATAGCCTAAGCAGACCTGCAGTGTGTAGTATGGCAGCTGTGAGAGCATTGTGGGTTTTAGGATCCTTATAAGCAGAGCAACATTGAGCAGAAGGGCTGTTGCCCTTGGACTTGCTGCTTGAGAGACTGTTGTTGGATGATTTATACTTTTCAGGTGTGCACATTTTACCAAGGATATAGGCAAATTGCAAAAAGCTTTGAAGTGCAGTACAGTCATGACTCAAGATCTGCAAAATCTGCTTTAAGGCAAGCAGCTTAGAAGGCTCAAGCACGCTTAGCAGTTAAGTGGTAACTTGACAGTGATCCAGAGAGCTTAGGATGGTGGATAGGTGATTCCTGAGTCTGTAAGATGACACAGCTGTGAGCTGGAGTGAAGTAAGAGCTTGTGACCTGTTCTGTGTACGTCTCTAGTGCTACGTGAGCTATTGCAATAAGAGTGCAAGAGAATTTGATTTGTCACCTTTTCGCTGAAGACAAGAAGCTGAAGGCCTGGCCCAGACCCAGAAGCTGCTGCCACTCCTATGAAGCCTACTTTGTGTTTGGGGTTCAGCTTCACTTGCTCTGCCACTGGCCCTCCTCCGGTTGGCTTATGGTGGATTTTCATGCTTGCAGCCCAGCACATAGCAAGGAACAATGCTGGATTATTTCTCAATTTCAGACAGCATTGCAAACAAAGTGTTCCATCAGCTTTCTATCACTTGCTTGTGTTGTAACATTCAGGCTTGGTGTATTTCTCATAAATCAGGCTCTGAAAACTCCTTTGGCGTTTTTTTTCTTTCTTGAAAATCTCCATTAGTTCATTAATAATTCTGCTAACTTTCAGCTTTTTTTCTTGCTTGCTTCACTCTGAAGTTCCCTTCTCCATGTTGGGTGCCACTGCTGACAGCATAGCCACCTTTCCTGTTATTCATCCCCCCAAGTCTTCAAATCTTCCTTTTTTTGTCGTCAGCTGTGCATCTCAATACTGAAGCTGCATATGGTGCAGTATTTCTAAATTCCAGACTTTGCTTTCTGCTGCTCCATTGAAACTGGTCCCCATCATTTTGAATCCTGGAGCACACCCTGCCCACATCCAGCTGAGCAGCCAGCATCATCTTCCTGATGTGCTGCTCCTCCTCACAGTTTGCTGCTGCATCAAGTGCCACGTTGTGATGTGCTGCTGGTGTGGGCAGATTGCTCGGCCCAGGCATCTGCCCTCATTCCCGACTGAACCAGCTCACCCTCGCTGCTCTGCCTTGCAACTGCTGCCAGCCTCAGACACGCATCTGCTTATTTTCTTCCCTATGTCTGAAAGGCTTCAGCACTCATATACGTGAACCCATTGCCAAACTAAACTGTAAAGATATTTCCTTGTGTTTTTCTTATCTATTTTAACATGATTTACAGCCATAAAGATTGGCAGGCTGGTTCCTGCGCTCTCACTGCAACTGTGGTGGTCACATAACATAACTCTGTCCTCCCTTTTTCTGGCTCTCCCCATTAAACTGGTTGATTCATGGCATTGGTTTGCTCAGTGGGATATTCCTGTGCAATGTCCTTATTTACATGCTTGTTTTGGAGTTGTGGGTCGTGGAGTTCAGATTCTCCAGGGCAAGGAACTTACCTCCTTACAAATTTCTCTAACTGGCATTTCTATAATTGCAATGTGTTATAACAGAGTAATTTTCATTTTTATGCTTGTTTCTTGGAGGTGATTGTTTCAAGAGGTAAGTTACGAAAATACTCCCTGAATTTTCCTGAAGGTTGTTGAGTGTCTCCCCCAATCACAGCCCTCCCTTAGCAAACACTTGCAAGACCTGAAGCTTTCTGCAAGCTCCAGTGGTGTCTTTTGATGCTATATTTATAAACTTGTAAATAATCCCATATCCGCCCCAGTCTCCAGTGGAACTGCACAGTAGATCGATGGAGATATTTAAATGCCAATACTTCTCAGAGTAATAATGGTAATAATTTTTGTTTAAACTATATATGTTTTAAAATTAGACATGACAACGTGCAGGCTGTTCTAGTAGCATCTCTATGACCCCTTGCTTGTCAGGCCTCCAGATTATTTTAGAATTGGCCAAATTGCAGAAATGAATATTTTTAAACCTGAATTCAGCATGTCAATTTGAGTGGCTTAGGCTTTTCCCTTTAACTGTTCTGTGAAGCAAGAACCAAGCTGCATTTCAACTCACTGTTTTCCACGTTGTATGAACCTCCTGAAGACAGGAAGGTGACAGGAGACAATTTATCTTCAATTTATCACCTGTCTGATGTTTGGTGATAGATTTTTTTCAACTTTTTTTTTTCCTGAAGTGGATGTTGTGGCTCTCTTAGAATGTAGCTTTCAAATCTATTGTGTGTGTATAGTCCCTGTACTTGGAAACCATGTGGCTTGAATCAGCCTAAGCAAGATTTAGGTAACAAGGGCTTGTGTGTTCCAGTATCAAATTTCAGTACTAAACAGATCGTTTTATTACTGTTTGTTAGTTTGAAGATGTTTGCCTGTAATTTTAATAAATGTCTTCTACTGTTTTCTCTTTCAAAGGCAGAAATAAAAAAGGTAGAACAAATATAGAAGTATGTGGTTTAAAGCTACAGAGTGTTTGCCCTATATGTCTGATGATTCTGAAAATCCTGAAAATAACACAAACCCATTCACGGGATGCTGCTGTGTTAAGGACACAACCTTGCCACCTTTCATTTCTTGAAGCCACATTGGTGGGGAATGCCCTTGACAGTGTGAGCACCAGCTGCCCATGTGGACTGGGGACTGATTTAATTAACTCCAATCCCAAAGGTTTAAAATTTATCTAGCAGCGTGTTAAATTGCTCCTGCCATTCTTCCTTGCCCTTGAGCTCTCCCGCTTGTCCAGGCTGGTGCTGTAACAAATTAATCTCTCGTGGCAGAGCGCTCCGTGCAAATGTCAAAAGACTGGGCACATGCTTTGTTTTAATGATATCCCACCACTAATCATATCTTCATTGCCTCATTTCTGCAGCCCCATTCTGGAGGCCTTTGGAAATGCCAAGACAGTTTATAACAACAACTCCAGCCGCTTTGGCAAGTTCATCCAGTTGCACTTCTCTCAACATGGACACATCCAGGGAGGCCGAGTAACTGATTGTATCCTTTTCTTCAGTGGACCAGGAATGGATGGAGTAAGTGAAGATGAGGAGATGCTCAGTGCGGGTCAGGAAATCCCTTGTCACAGTTTCTCAAAGCCAGTTTATAACTGTGGGAAAATTTGCAACCTAAAGAGAGAATAAGTGTTTGTTTTGTGGCTCGGCAGCACCTAACTGTAGAAACCTTTTGTCTAGGTACTGCATTAGGTAGGGACATAGTTTGACTTTTCACTTTGGCAATCTCAACACATGTTACTTAAAACCCTGGAATTTGCTGCCACGTTGATTGCATGCTGTCTGTTTCCCATAAAATTATTGCCTTATGTTAGTTCTGCCAATGAATTTGTGAGACCAAACTAAGAATCACTATATTCTGCAGAATATTTGGATGCAGAAGAGAATTATGACTCCCTGTTTTAGGCTGCCATCTCCAGTGGACCTTGTAACCCTAATCCTAGAATCAAAGAATATCTCAAGTTGGAAGGGACACATAAGGATCATTGAGTCCAACTCCCTGCTCCTCTCAAGACTACCTAAAATGAAATTGTATGCCTTAAGAGCATCATCCAGATGCTCCTTGCAGTCTGACAGGCTTGGTGCCATGACCACTTCCATGAGGAGCTTGTTCTGGTGACAAGGACAGTGAAGACTGGATATAGTCAAATTATGTTGTGCCATGATGACTTTCTTCCCTGTATGCCCGTGGAGCTCTCTCCCAAAGGATTAGACCTATCTTTTGTCTACATGAGGCAGGTAAAGCTGCCTTGGCTACATTTCTTGATGGTGATGTTCAAAGCTGCTGATGACTGCAAACCACACCAATTTCCACTGGAGTAGCAGCCAGATGAATTTACTACCATTGTAAATAACAGGCTTGCATTGTTTAGTCTCTGCTCTCTGTGCTGTCAGTAGATTAAAGATAGTGGTCTCTTGCAGAAGCAATGAGAACTGATGCAAGACTTGCTGTGAGCAATACAGACTTTCAGATTAGAGTAGCCTCTAATCTTTCTAGGTGTTCCTAATGTGGCTCATCCTTTGTTAGGTTGCCTATGCTCTATCTGACTCTGCCCTTTTAAATATTTCTTTGGCAAATCATACCTCCTTGGAAAATGAGTAGAGAGGATGATCTGAGATGATGTTTAGGACCACTCTTCACCTACCTCCCAAAGTGTCAGTTATTTAATGATTTGCTGCTTGTTACAGGGTTCATCCCAATGTGTCTAGAAGATTCTTTGTCAATCATCAAGAAATATGTGCATATGTCACTTGAATGTTTTTTCCTTAACTTGCTGTTCAGATTTACTGGAAAAGGTAGGTATCCCCTCTACTGACTGCTGGGTGAGCCCTCTTCCCATAGTATGGTGTGGGAGTGCCAGATCACCTCCTGAATGATGCTGTCTTCATCACAGCGTGTAGGCCTTAGATCCTTATGTGTTACAATTGCAACTGTCCCAAATGAGGAAGAGGCAGAGGAAAAATGTTTGTTCTGTATCTATCAGAGCCTCTTCTCCTATCTTTGATAAACTCTGTTCATTACAGAGAGACCCCAAGAAAAAGCTGTTAACCGAGGAGAAAGGGAAAGAGAACAAGTACGTGGAAACTCAGTTCCACAGAGAAGAATATGGAGTACAACTCCAAATGCAGGCATCTCTGCTCTGATGTAGTTTCCTTTGGACTCAGGGACTCACTGAGGAGCAGTGTCAGAACTGACAGGTTCGGTTTGTCCCGGTCATGCTATTGAGTACAGAGAAGTCAGCACATAGTCAGTTGCACAGCCACATGTGACAAGACCTTGATATAGAATTTATTTAGACAAAACCATCACTAAACTGGAAGAAGACCCTCTTGTACTTTGGCCCTGGAGATTTACCTGTATCCTCGTCCTCTCTTTGCCTTTGCAACCAGAAGTCTAATCTCCTTCTACTTGCTACTCTTGTATTCTTTGTTTCAGAACAGAGTGGTACACCAGAACCCTGGAGAGAGGAATTATCACATCTTTTATGCTCTGCTAGCTGGTGTGAGCGGGGAGCAGAAAGGTAATTGCATTTCATAGGATATGGCTTTGTCCTCTTTCCAGTCCAACATGTGAAGCAGGTGTAAGTCAGTTAGAGACGGATATTTCAGGTACTCAATATGTAGCTTTTTCTTGAAGGCCATATGGTGATTTTGTGGGAAGCAGAAAGGGGAGTTGAGATAAAGAGGCTGAGGATGACAGAAATGCTATATGAAAAAAGACACTTCAGGCATTCTGAGCTGGAGGGAAAAGTCTGTGGAAAGTGATGAGGTAATGAAACTGTCTAGAGGTGAAGGAAGGGTAGAGAGTCTTAATACAGTTGCTGATGGGACCTGTTCCAGGAGTTCAAAGGTTGGATGACAGACATACTTTTACAACAAACCTTCAGTATAGATAATATTAGAGAGAAGAATTAGGAAGACCAATGATGTAGTGGAAGAACTGGAATCAAAACATGTATAGTGTCTGAACAAAGGCTTTATAGCTCATTACATGGGGAAGAGAGAGGTGGATCTGAAGGAGGGCACACAGAGAAAGTGGCAGCTGCAGGCTGTAGATGAATCCGCTTTGTAGTGCAGGATCCCCTTAACAGCATTTGTATGTACCTGTCCCAAGCACTGCTGAGCACTGATGGTCTTGCTAAAGAGGTCAGATAGGCAGGCAGGAACATGTTACGTTGCACTCTGGTTTTGAGGGACTGGGGAATTTCTTGTTCTCTGTGTGTTAGGATAATCAGGTGGAAGATTTGGGCCTGACAGAGTGGAAGGAGTAGGGCTTCAATTTTAGGGAGTATTTACAGGAATGGCCACATAGGTCAATTCAGAGATCAAGCTAAAGCAAAGGAAAATAGCGGGGACCATGGTTATCAGCAAGTACTTAGGGAAACCATACAACACATTCTTTTCTTCAGCAGATCTGCAATTCTTCCCCATCTTCCTCTCAAAGCTGGTGTCCCAGGCTGCTTCACTTCCCGATCTGTAATGTTGTTTTGGGACTTGATCATCCTTGTCTCCTTTCTCCATTGATTTTTTACTTCTCCTTTGTTCTTTTCAAAATGGGGGATCAAACCTGCAGAAAGTATTTTAGATGTGGTTGCACTACAGATACATACAGAGATCAAATTCTGGTTTTATATTTAGTTTTGTGTTCCTACTAAAACTAAAGGAACTGAACTATGTTCAGTTTTTTACTGCTGCTCAGTACTGAGATGTCTTCAGAAATCTGACTGACTCTCTGAGCTCTGTCTCATGTGATGATACCTAATTTAGAGGTTATTACTGCATGTGTATAGTTAAGACTATTTTTCTCTATACTCTTTGAGATAGATTATTTTTTTCTGCGTCAATTCTGTATTGATAAATTCTGCAACTCTGCAGCTTGGGATTTCACTGTTCTAAATAATTTTGCATAGCCTCTGCAAACCTTTTTACAGCATACCCTTCTCTTTCCCCCTCCCCAGTGCATTCACTGTCGAGGTGTAGCTTTTGAGGGATGTGGAATCAGTTCAGATGAACTCTCCCTATGGTAAACATACACACTTTTGGGGGGACCAAGATCATAGAATTAAAAGGTTCATTGCTAAATAAATTGTTGTCTTTGTCCTGCCTCTTTTTCTTCTGTTGCAGAGAGCCTCTCCCTCTCTGAGCCAGAGACTTATCGTTACTTGAACCAGTCTGGCTGTGTGACTGATGAGAACCTGAATGATGTAGAGATGTTCAGTAAGGTCATGGTGAGTTCAGTCCTAACTCCTGCTGAACTTTTGCGCATAATCTCATGGACTAAACATGCTGCATGGTCTAGATCTCACAGGCAGAATATATTTGCCCTAAGCCAAAACTGGGTGTTCAACAAGTCCGAAACTCAGCTCTACCTGTTTATGGTAAAAACAAGGCTCAAAAAGTGGTTTTGGGAAACAGTCAGTATGAATAATAATTTAGAAAGATGCAAAATTTTGGGGAGCCTGAGCCCCAACCCCCTCACCCCATAATGGTTCCTGGGAGCCTTCCAGATAGCCTGATGCAGGAAACCTCAAATTGACTATTAGAAGTGGAACAGTTTGATCCGAAGGTAGTGTTCTCCAAATATATTCCAGTAAAATTGTATCATCTGTGCAAATGGCATATTCTGAAATACCGCACAGATTTCAATAGACACCTATACCTTTACCAGAGTTTATAGGTTTAGCAGGATGAATCTGCAAATTGATGTTTTATTTGATAAGTGGTTATTGGCCTGAGGGCTTTAGTAATGTAAGTGAAGCCAGGTAGGCAAGGCTAGAAAAGTCAGCTTAGGATTTCAATAGCTCCTGCTTAGGCGTGATTTAAGGGAAACATCTCCTGTACAGCAAAGATTTCAATGGCAACATGGCATTTATATTTCAGCTGAGGAGATGCTTGGAGGAAAGAAGGGAACTAGAACCCCAGAGTGCCCCACTCACAGGGTGAATGCATGAAAACTAGGTCCTGCTTCTCAAAGTCAATTTATGCCCCAAGAACCATGGGTCACATGCATGCACTAAGACAGAGGGAATGTGCCATAATTCCTCATTATCTGGTAACCTGTTTCTCACCTTCTAGCAGTTAATGCTGAAAGCCTGGTTTTAAATCTTACTGCATAAATCTACTATTCTAAGCTAGAACAAAGTAAGGGGGTTATATGGATCAGAGTAAATTAAGTATATTATATGAATATGTCCTTCAGGAAAGAAAATAAGGGAGAATGTGGAAATAATCCAGTAACATCTGTAACCTGTGCTGCCAGTGTTCAGGGGCAGATTTCTTCACATAGTCGCAAACCCATTCTTCCTGTGACAGACCAGCAATGTCAGCAGCATAGTCCAACTTGAGGATGGAGCAAATGCCCACCGCTCTTAGATGGTGATAGAGTAAATGTAGAAGAGAATGGGAGACAGAAAAGATCATTGAGAGATGTATAGCTAAGAGAGGTGCTGTGCCATCCCATTTCACTTTGATTCATGGTGACTATAATTCTGAGTTATACATCTTACACAGACTGGGCCTGAGTGTGGTAGTTACATTGTACTTGGCTATAATACAGCCAACATTAGCTGTATGGTTTTGAACAGACTGCCATGAAGGTGGTGGACTTCAGCACTGAAGAAATCAGAGACATCTTCAAACTTCTTTCTGGCACACTTCATTTGGGAAATGTTGAATTCATGACAGCTGGCGGGGCCCAGATTACGACAAAAGCAGGTGAGTGGGACCCTAGCAACTTGGTAGACCATGCAAAGCCCCATAAGGCCCCCAGTAAAGCTCACTCCATTGTCCTTTTTCCCTCTGGTTATGCAGTGCCTTTGCCAGCAGATTCACTGACTGCAGTGAGCTCTGCAAAAGCAGTGCCACAGGATACATGGCTCCAGGGCACCAGTGTGATTTAACTGGGCTGTGGCCTTCTGACCCATTAGTGCTCCCGGCTACTCTCAGACGAGTCCACGGCCCCACAATTTCTCTTTTGCATTGAAAGAGATGGAAGAAATAGGATCAGGGAGGAGTTGGAGATAAAAATAGTGTGTTAGAGACTTCCCCCCATCTTCATTTGAAGCATATGATTTACTAGTGTGCACTCTGTTACCGTTATGCAATCTGAGCTCATCTGGTAGAGTGAATCCCTAAACAGACAGAAGAAATAAATATGTATTACAAGTCCTTCAAGTCTTAAGTTAATTGCCTCTCTTCTTAACATCCAAGTTTAGCAATCCCATGCTCATTGTGCCTTTAGGAAAACATATCTTCTCGTGCGATAAATATTTTGCTAGTGCTGAGCTTTACACAGGACTTTGCTCTTCTTGTTGTCAGCAGAAAGTCTGACTTACAGGAGTATCTGTGGCCCAAAATGGGTGCTGACTCTGCCTCAGACTGGGTATATGAGCTTACAGCTTTGGGTATGCCCAATAGAATTAAGTAAAGGGGAGTGTGTTTTGTGCTGGAGTTTAGTCACTTGCCTTGTAGGAGTCCCTGGGATTTCCTCACTGAGCTGCAAAATATGAATCCCCCATGAGTGATGGGGATCCAGGCAAGAGAAAAAAGAGTGTCTTCCTTTGTTATTAGTGCTGAACATTGCCAGTGACCTCCTGGGCCTAGATGCCTTTCAGCTTTCTGAAGTACTGACGCAGAGGTCCATGATTCTGCGTGGGGAAGAGATCAGCTCCCCTCTCACTGTGGAGCAGGTAAGTGTCCTAGTGTATGCTACTGCTTCTGCCACTTTTGCATTTCCAGGCCCTCTGTCTCCCTCTTGTATCACCCATTCCAGTTTAGGGCTTCCTGTTTCCTCAGGTATTTTGCCCTTATTGGCAGTTCAGGTCTCAATGTTGACTCTGCTTTTTAGGTTTTACAGGGGAGTTCACTTTCAAATGTCAATGCACTTTGTCAATGGTTTTAAGTCACCGTCACTCACCAGGAACTGGTCATACTTGTGTCGTGCAGAAGGTGCATCAGATGGTTTGTGGTAATTGCATGTATGCATGCTTTTACCTTGCCGAACTCCCAGGTTACACTGCATTTACTGGAAGGTAAAAGCTTGCACACAGTTACCACGAAACATCCGGCAGATGTTAGGTTGTTACCCCACAGTAGCTTCTTTCCATATCCATACAACCACAAAGGAGGACTGAAAAAAATGATACGTAGCTCTTGTGATGTTGCTGATCACTTGAGGGCACTCTTGGTGTTTTAGGTCCATGCATAGATAACTGTAGAAAATCTTCTGTCATTAATAAAATGCAAAACACTGGAAAACATGGAGTAATATTACTAGGATGGAAGATACTTCATGTTATAGCAAAATGAACATCTGTAATGGAAATCTTGTGCTGGCACAGACTGCAGAGGGTTATCAATCCAACGCCTGTATTGGCAGAGAAACCAGAGTTACTAGACTTTCTCTGACGGATGTCTGTCTAACTTTCCTTCAGATTTCCCATGGAAGGAATTTCACAGCATCTTTAAGTATCCTGCTTTAGCTGCAGTGGAGTCTGGAGTTGAAAAGATTTTCCTCATATTTAGATTACCTTTGACATCCCAGCTGTCCACCTTACAAGCTTTGGCTTCTGTGAAGTTTTTCATGTGGTGTTCTCTTTTCTAAGCTAAACAATCCAGTTCCTTCAGTGCTTCCTTGTAAGTAATTTTCTAAATCTCTTTGTCTTCTGTCTCTGTTTTCCCACATCTTTCAAGAAGCGGAGTGCCCCCAGCTCAGCACCGTATTCAAGCAGAAGTCTCAGCAGTGCTCATTATGGCGGAGTAGTTGCTTCTTTTCTTGCTGTGAACACACCTGCTAATATGTTAGAAGCTAAGTTTTGCCTTTAAGAAATGGCCTCTTTTTTTGCATAGTCTTTGACCTTTCTTTGCAGTGAAATTGTGTCAAAATTATTTTTCAGCCTGTAGCCTATGGTAGATGTCCTCAGTATCCAGTACCACAGTTTTTCTTCTCAGCTCTCTGTCCCAAATAAGCCACATCTTTCTCTAGCAGTACATAAAGTTGGATAACAAATAATACCAGAGACAATTCAGGCAGTCCAGAACAACAGTATGCAGTTGTAGAATTAACAAGAGTCCCCCTGAATAGAGCTTTGCCTGATAGTATATCTGTTGCTGACATTTTTGTATGTTGGACCCCACACTTACTGCTTGCAGCCCAGTGAAGTACTAAGACCACAAGAAAATTGTGATAGCTGTCTTCACTAGATAAGCCTGTTGCACTGAACACTGGGCCTGTAAAGGCTATTCCTGCTGAAGCCCTCATGTGCTGCACCCACCTATTCCCACTTGTTGTGGGAATGCGTTGATAGAGTTGCCAGGGATTTCTCATTATGTAATGGGCTCACTACCCATCTGAGCTTTGACATTTCAGTGGGTTGAATGGATGAACTGGCCTAAAGGCAGGCAAAGCTGGAAGGATGAAAAGATCCTTTGAGAATCTCATTTGAGCCGTATTGTAGGGAAAGTGCTTTGCTTACAGCTGGATGGGGAGGTCCTGGAAAATGAGTTCAACTTAACTGTGTAGCCAGAGATACTACAGAGGCATGGCCTTGAGGGCATTCTCAGTCCCAACTAATAAGACAGATCATCTGATGGAGAGAAGAAATACCCAGAAAATATGTGTGTGCCCATGCTTTGAAATGTTCTCTTCTGTGGAGAAGGGAGATTGCTCTGTGCCGACCTTGAGCTGCTGAAGAGGAGATAGTACCCAGGAAGAGAAAGGAGGAGAAAACCAGTGAGGCTGGGTGAAAAGGAGGATCTGCTAGGCTGGGCCTCAGAAGCCTCGCTGAGGGGTTGAAAGGGTTCAGAGGCAGTTGGCCTGTGTCATTAGCAAAGCAGAACACAAGAGTTTGTGTTATTTAGGGTTGCAAAACTAAGGGGATGAAGGTGCATTTAGAAGATCAGTCATTGCTGTCTGGCCTACTGAAGGAATTGCCCTGGTGTCACAGGCGAGACAGAGGAAACAACCTGTAATCTATTTACCGTGGTTTATTTATTAAATGACAAGATTAAAGCTTTTACCCTACTTCATTATTTCATGTACTTGCTCACTCACCCCTCAGCATTACGTTCTCTAGATGTCAACTTCCTTTCCCAGTTGGGAGTGTGCTGCTTGTCCAGGAGGGTCAGGGCACAAATTTGTATGGGTTCGTATTGTGTAGTTGCAGTTACCAGGCTCAGGAACTACCAGCCAAGGTTCTTGGGCATACCCTGACGTTTATCTCCGTGTCTCCAATCTCCAGGATCTTTCCCCACTTCCAACATCTTTCTTCCAGTCACAATCTTTGCCGTCTTCTCTCCTGGCCCCTTTTTCTACTCCCTGAGATCATGTCTTCTTGTTGTGAACCCTTATTTTTGGCCTCGTCTTCTTTCTAGAACCCTAAACTCTAGTTTCCGATTCTAAATAGTGTATATGCAGAAGGACAGCATGTGATCAGCCTCTTAATTTGTGGTTCTGTCTCATGTCTCTTTAGTAATTGGAGGATTTGAGGTGTGCTGCTTTTGTTTGTCCAAGTGTTATCGAAATTTGCAACCAGCCCATTCCTTTTACAGCTATCAGGTAGCAGGCTTTCGCTTGAGATACCAACAGTTTGATTTTGGATGTTCATCCACATGCTTACATACACCCAATTAGCTAGTGCCTGTTAGTCATCACAATTTAAGTTATTTTTTCCGCCTATGACACTTGGTTATGATCAGTGCATGGCATGTGGGGTCAACTCTAGTTGAAAAGTATTTAAATCCATGATCTTTTGGGGCACGTGTCCCGGCTGTTGGCTAGCCTAACTGGATTCCAGCAGGATAATGCTGTTTGCAGGGAAGTTTTGGAAAGGGGATTTTTGAGGGCAACTTGGTGTCAGAATACTTCATTAAATCCTGCCCTACCAGTTTTTTGAAAACTGAGTAGACACCCATTTGACAGCTTTACTAGGAGTACTGAACCAGGATACCTTGCCTGTCACTGCAAATGTTGACTCAGGTGATGCAAATGACTGCTGTGGGCTTAGTTGTGAGATATTTTGCCACCTTCCCTGCCCCCCAGCACTTGTTCCAAAAGATGTCCCTGATTTTGCTACTTCTTTCAGCCTCTGAAGTTCAGTTACCCAGAGGTTATATATACATGGCTTATCTGTGTGTGGCCTGGCTATTTGAAAACTTGATACATATAAATACTGCACTATACACAGCCCGTACAGAGGCTGAGACCTCCACTCTGAGAAGAGTGGAGGAACCTGAAGTCCCATAGAGATTCATGTGCCCCTTATGCCTTCTGTTCTCTTTGTGACTCATTTTCATTCTCTGTATTTACAGGCAGCTGACTCCAGAGACTCCCTCTCTATGGCGCTCTATTCCCAGTGTTTCTCATGGCTCATTAACAAGATTAATACCAAGATCAAAGGCAAGGAAAACTTTAAGTCTGTGGGCATCCTGGATATCTTTGGCTTCGAGAATTTTCAGGTCAGGATTTTGTCTTTTGTGGAGTGGGTTGGTTTTAGAGGTGTCAGTGTGTATAGGAGGGAATTTTGGTGGGTTTGTATCCCCCAGTCTGGGGTCTCTCCACTGTCACTTTCCCCTGGAAGTAGCAAGATATATTTAGCTGCCCATTTCTGCCACCTGTATTCATAAAAGCTGATGTTCAAAGTCTGGTTTGTGACACAGACCCTAAACAGATGTACTGTGGTAGATAATATTGAATTTTTGACTTGTATGCAGATTAAATATCCAAATCCTGTGTGTACATTATTTGTTTACATCTATTTTGCACTGTGTGGAGAATGCCGTTGTAATACTTCTGACTGCAACCGATGAGGGTTGTATGTTGAACAGTCACAGAGTGACTGCTCAGATATTTCACAGAAGAGAAAGCCCAGTGACCTAACACTTAGGGAATTACATTTCTTTCTTCCAAGAAGAGAAGCATGATTGTCTTTAGCATCCTTTACTATGATTTAGGTTTACTATGAATTAACCTTGCATGGGCTACAAAAACTGTTCTCATAGTGGACCTCCCCATACTGTCCTCCTCATGTTCATCTTGACCACTATGTTCTCTGGCTTTATTTTAGGCCTGGCATCTTCCACCTTGCTGCTATAGATTATTTTAGAGCTCAGGGTCAAGCATGTTAAGTTTTATAATCATTGTTTCTTCTTGCAGGTGAATCGTTTTGAGCAGTTTAACATTAACTACGCAAATGAAAAACTCCAGGAATATTTCAACAAGCACATCTTCTCCTTGGAGCAGCTGGAGTACAACAGGTGACAAACAGAGGAAGGGGAGCCCCTATTGCTTTCATGGGTAGTAGAAGGGAGAACATCATTCCTCCTCTGTGCTCTTCAGTCCCTACTGCTGAGGCAGGAGAAACAACTGGGCCTTAGCGCAACCCTGACTGTGGATGTGTCTTGATAAGCACTGTCCATGTGCTTTGCCAGCATAAGTCACTTGCCTCCAGCCAAAAGCAGTCTCCCTTGTAGTATTTAGAAAGCCCAGATTTCCTTCTGTCTCTCAGCTGAATAGAAAGTTCTTGGGCTTTAACCCAAGTGGTCACTGGGCTTATTACTAACTTTGGTAATGATTTACCTAGGGTACTGGTAGTGTTATGCAGATGGAATCTTGGTGTGCAAAAAGTAAAGTCCTTGAAGATAGACAGATATCTGACAGCTCTTTCTGTCCTAGAGATTCCTGTACTGTGAAAAGGGCTCTTTTCCTCAGCAAGGAGACTTAAAGGAGAGATTTCCCGATCCTGGGACCTTCTGCACAGTTGTTCCTCTTCTGCTGTGGGCTTCATATTGAATTGTATTTAGTGAAGTACCTGGGATGTTCTAGAGTATTTCTGCTTCTAGAGAAGGTTGCTAGACAAATACTTTAGTTGTTGCTCTGAAACAGAAGCCTTTATGTTTGTGAATGAAGCAATTGAATAGGGTCAGTGAGGGCAAATGAGAGCAGCCTTGTAAAGGGAGACAGTTGAATAGGCAATTCATTAAATTCTAAAGATTACAAAACTGCAAGGCTATTTATGCACTCACTTCTCAGGCCTGTTCCACTATTGCAGGAAGCCTGTGTTAAGAATGGTATCATCATGACAATTTATTTTTTCCTGATGATTGCATAGAAATTTAAGTTCTGTGGCTGAACTTTGAAAGAATGAGAGGATTTTATTATTGTCTATGCATCAAATTATTCTAGGGTGATGTGCCTAAAGCTCGTCTTTCACTGTGTAAGCTCTGCTTCCTCAGGTTTAGTAAGTAGCTCTGTGTATCTCATCTTGATGCTCTGAACCTGGAAGTATGAAGCCTAGGTTGAAGGGTTTGTAGACAACTTCTCCACTATCTTCAAAATGTTAGCCTCCACCTGAAAGGTGTCTGTATCAGAAAGTCAGTAAGTAGCTTCATACATAGCCTGTAGTCTTCCTTGGATTCCTGAGTAAGAGCTATTCCCAGGCTTCTCTGAATTCTGAAAACAGAAACATCCTTTATTTTGGGAGTGTAAGAAGGTGATAAGAGAGGAAAAACACATTCAGCAGATTTACAGAATTTCATGGGTGATTTCCAAAGCATAATTATTGCACTACTCTACCTATATCAGCCCCTATTCTGAAAGATGCAGGGCCACCCTGTAGGCACCCTGTATATCAAGCTAAAGCTTACCTGTGTCATCCTCTTCAAAACTCTCCCTGAAAACTCTCTCCTGTCTCTTTTTCTGGTGGACCTGTGAATTGTAGTTCAGTCTTCTGGCAGATGTGCTTTGGGCCTTCTTTCCATATTGGTGGGTCAGCAGTTGACTCTCGAAGCTGTGTAGCAAACTGTCCATCATCGCCACTGCTTGGGCTGATGCTCATCAGTCCTGAAAGAGCAACTACAGTTTTAAAATTTGTGTGAAATTTACCCAAGTGCCTACAAGATAAGCATCAGTTTAAATCACCAGTATGGATAAGAAAGGCTGTCTCCTACCTCCATCTCCTTGTGTTAGCAGTGCATTGTGTCCCCTATTCTTTTTCCTCAGCCATGGCAAAGCCTAATTACTGCAAATTGTCTTCAGTCCTGGGACAGCTGCCATGCTCAGCTACTTCTGCTCTTCTCCTACACCCCAGAGCATTGGATCTTTCATTTCACATCTTTGTTCTCTTTGTTCTTGACTGTCAGGGAAGGGATAAACTGGGAAGCCATTGACTGGATGGATAATGCAGAGTGCCTGGACCTTATTGAGAAGGTAAGGAGTTATCTGTGACAGTTTCCAGGGATCACCATGGTCACTGCTGATTGTCTTGAGACCTTTCCTGGGGTTTCTTGATTTTAAAAACAGATAGTTGCTTAGATCATGTTCCCATAGTGACCTGGCAAAAGTATGGGCTCTTAGAGCTGTAGTCCCAGCTCAAGAAAGCAGATCTCTGCTTATTGTTGAGAGTAAGCTTAGGAAGAGTGTCATAGTTTTAGATTAGTGTTTAAGTAAAACCTTAATGTGATTTTTTTATAAATAATCTCCACTTACATTCTGCTTGCTGAATGCATTGACTGGCCAGAATTCTGCTTTCAGCTTGAGCTTTGCTGGGTATAACTCAGGAGTTATTGCTCAGTGGTCTGTTCAGATCTCCAGTTCTTGTCTTGGTGCTGTGTAGTTAGAGCTTTTGCTGACTGTAAAAGCTTGTCTCTTGTTTGACTGTAGAAACTAGGTCTACTGGCTTTGGTGAATGAAGAGAGTCGATTCCCCAAAGGCACAGACAACACCCTTCTGGAAAAACTTCACAGCCAGCATATGGTAAGTAAGAAAATAACCTGGCAGGCAAATGATCAGTATGTTAGCCCCATCAGCATTGCAAAACCTAAAGTGAAGGTTTTGTTGATGTAAAATATATGCTTTGTGCAGGAAATTTAAAATGCCTGGTACCCAAACCTGCGAGTGTTTAATTAAGCTGCACTGAACAAAAGTAATATGTGAGACAACCTGAGAATGGTCTCTTGTGCACATACAGAAAAGGGAGTGTGCATTCCACAGGCTGTGGGTAGAAGAAGTTTGAATTGGTAGGATGGGATGGAGGTCAGGTTCTGCTGGTCTGCGATGAGACACAAGGCAACACCCCAGGCACAGGATGTGGCTGCACAGTGTATGGGTTTCTCTTGCCAGCTGACTCACAGCAGTCTGCTCCAGAGCGTGTCAAATCTGTCTCCTGGGGCTGGGGACGGCTTTTGCCTCATGACTTTTAATAAAAGCTCTCTTATTGTTCCTAATTAATTAAATTCTTTCATCCTCTTTCTTGTGTTCTGGACACAGGAGTGGAATGGCTTTTTCATGCAGGTCAGAAAGTTATCCTGGGGACACAGAAACCCCAGTGAGATCACTGTAGCAATCCCTTACCATGTCTCTGGTACAGCCAACACTTTGTTCTAAATAATAAACAGACTGAAAACAAAACAAATTAAAGCCTGTAGCATGGACTTATGGAGTAATTTACTACTTTAGTAAGAACATTTTCAGCAAATATGTTTCCTAGTCTTCTAATTGAGACTTCATCCAAGCCTGAAAACATAAAAATTTGTATCCTTTATCTGAAGTTTTTTTAATTGGCATAGATGCAGATATTCTCATTTTTCATATTTGTATTCTAACTTTGCTGGTAATACTCATGACTACAAAATTGGAAACAACAGCAATGACTTTTGGTTGGCTACTTACACAGAGCTTTGTGGAAATATTTCCTTTCTTCAGGCTTAAATCAAGGCCTTCAATTTAGTCTGCTGTGGCTTTGCCTTGTATTACAGGTCAAGGAATGTGAGAACGCCTGCTGTATCTTTTTTAATTTTTTTATCGTTGTTGGTATTTGTTAACTTTTAATATAAAACTAATTAATATTTTTAATGCCTCGCTTGTTTTGAATTTTCTCTCTTAACTGTCCCAACTTCTTCAGTTTGTCTCCAAATGGAGATATTTCAAAGCTCCTCTTTCTTTCTGCTGTTTGTCTCTGAATTTGTCTACATATTTTTTTCTCTATTCTTTTCTGAGATAAATAATCAGACCAGAATGCAGTTCCCTTGGTAAGAAGGTACCTGTGGTTTATTGTACAGCAGCATGAGACTGCCAGTATTATTTTGCATTCTTTTATGCCCCACAACATTTTGGTTGCTATTTTTGGTAATTTCTGTGCATCGAGTAGCCTTTTCATTAAGCTGTTCATAGTGTCACCTCTGTCTGCTTTGAGGGGATAGCAGTTAACGTGGAACCCTAGGAAGCTTATGAGATGTGAAATGCAGGGAGGAACGATTTAGTAGGTAGTGCTCTAGGGTTTTCATTTGTTGAAGGTAAAATTGTTTTTTGTACCAGTTAAAGTCTCTATTGCTGGCTGGAAGAGCACTGGAAGGCATCCAGCCAGCATTGCTGGGAAGCCTGAAGAGAACAAGCCCTCTTCTCTGTATTTTCTGTGGATTGCTGTAGCCTTAAGAAGGAAAAGCATAAGGCTGGGATTTCAGAGAATATGACCTCTGATACAACTGAAGAGAGGAGCAATAGGGGAGATAGGAGAAGGAACCAGAAATGTTGTAAGCATGAATGAAATAAAAGGGCTTGGTAGAGAGGGAGAGGAGATGAGTGTGCCAATCCACATAAGAGAGCCAGGAGCAGTCATGCTTGGAATGGAAGATAGGGAATTTTGTGATTGGAAAAAGATGACTGAATGGAGGAAAGGGAAGAGCAATGAAATGGGGTCAATATGAAAAGGAAAAGAAAGCAATGAAAAAAAATTTCCAGTAGCACTAACAAATTATCAGTGTCAGAAGCCATCCACCCAATACTGCCAAAAGACCTTGAAGATGAAAGAGCTCAATTATAAACAGCATTGTGCAACATGTTACTTAAAATTTTCTTAGTACTTTTGTCTGAGAAGATGGGGAATTATTTTAATTTTTAGGAAGTATTGTAGGAAATTATAGGCCTATAGTTCTTATTTCACTATTGGGTAAATTCAAATAATGTAAATGGTCAGCTACCTCAATGAAGAGAGGCCTGCAAGATACTGTCTCATATGAGCATTGAGGTGGCAGTTTTCTGCTGATTCATGGAGCAAGACTGGACTGAGAGGGGCCTCATGAGACTGATTGGGTGGTAAAATGAAAATGAAAAGCAGTGTAGATAAATGCAAAATGGTGTACCTGAAGGAAAACAGTCCCAATTTCCCCTTTGAAAACATTGGGCCCTGAACTGACTGCTGCTCTTCAGGAGCGAGACCCAGACAGAGGCTGTGATAGATAGTTCCATGGAAATATCAGCACAGTTCTCAGTAGTAATAAAAAAACCCAGATGAAATAGTAGAAAGTCCTGGAAAATAGAACAAAAGAAGAAAACATTGTTATGGCATTGTGTAATCTATAGATCACCTGCACTTTGAATAATGTACACCACTGGGCCCCTCTGCTCGAAAAGGGGTTATATCAGAACTAGTAAACAACTGGTTTGGGACAGCTTCAGTGTTATGGAAAACTAGGTTGAAGGGACCCTGCAGTGTGGAGAGAAGATGACTTGGGGGTGTGTGTGATGGGTTTAAAAGTCACACATGGCCTGTAGAAGACAAATGGCACTAATGGAAGCCAGGCTTAAATAGTTCTCTATGGGGCTGGTTAAGAGCTCCTGCGAAAGGACACTTGGATGCAAGAAGTTTTCATGGGTTCAGGTGCAGAATAAGCAAGCAAGCAAGAGAAATCCACTTGGGGTAACTAGTTAGGCAGACCTTATAGAAATAAGTAGATTTTGAGGGAATATTAGGATGAAAGTATGATTTACTTGCTTTGTTCTTACTCTACAGTACATAGCCACTGCTAGAGGCAGAATACTCAGCTGGATAGATTGTTGGTCTCGAGCAGCGTGGCTGTTCTCACATAGTTAAAACGGCTTTCACAGAACAAAGAAAGGAGGGGGAAAAGGAGAGAGTAGAACATCTAATAAGAGAAAGGAAAAGTGAATATTCAATAAAGGGGAAGAGAGGTGCAAAGAAAGATAAAATATAGAGGAAGACAGGACACTGGTATAGTATTTCCTTTGATGAAGAAAAGGTGTGTAGGTGTTCTGCAAAGCTGCCATCTTCCTTGCATCCTGATCCTGTGTCCTGCACCACATGGTTTGTGTGGAGCCCAGTCTCCTCAGGTGTCAGACACACAAGAATTAACATTTCATCCATGGCATGCCTGCCCAACCTTGATTCTGCAAGCCCTTGTTCACATGAGTAATGCCTTGAAGGGCTGGATTTTTCCATCTTATTTAAGTAACATATTTGTAATGTAGCAGCAGAGAGCTGCAGCAGATGTGGTCGGGCTCTGCAAGAGCTAAGGTCCTTGCCCATCCAAGCCTTGTCATAGTCATGGCAGAGTTCCTGATTGAGCCTGTTTATTCTTACACCAGCATTAGAAGACTACTTCTTTTTCTTTCATTTCAGAGCAACCCCTACTATGTGAAGCCTCGAGTAACAGACCATCAGTTTGGCATAAGACATTATGCAGGGGAGGTAGGTGTTCATGATTTGTTTGTGAGATGCTTGGTATATCTTGGATTTAAGGTCCTCGATTTTAGGTTCCAAAAATCAAGAATATCTCTGAACTGTGTGTTGCCACACAGTTAGTGCCCCCTACCAGAGCACTTTTGAAATTTTAGGCTTAAAATAGTATGTACTATATTCTCCAGCCTGGATGTTTGTTTCAGTTTCTCAAGTAACTTTCGTTTTGGGGGTTAAACTCCTCTGTACTTCTGTTATTCATATTGTCTTTACATGCACATTCACAAGTAAACAAAACCCAAAGTAAAAATCACAAGGAAAATTTGACTATTGAAGAGGAGGAGAAAAGGATAAATACCTATCGAAAAAAAGGAAAAGGTTTCCAAGCCTTTAAGGTTAAATGTTGCTCTTTGTTGTGAAGAGCTATGAAACGGATGAAGGTGTGTCAAGGGAGGACACCTGCACATTAAAGAAGGGCTAACCCCCTCCTAGAAAAATATCTGCTGAGCCCTTGTGGTTGGGAAGTCAGGGCAGTGGCATTCTCCATTCGCTTTGCTCTCCTGAAGTGAATGGTGTACCTCACCCTTTGCAAAGGATTTCTCCACACACCCTCCCTGCCAGGCAAATCTTTGCAGCTGTTTCACTTGGCTCTTGCTTTTGAGGGGGTTTTGTGTTTTTTAGTTGATGTCTAAAAGCCACTCTCTGGATGGTAACTGTAAAACTCTGGAGTTCTTTGACCCCAAAAGTTCAGATCTTGGCATATGCCTGCAGTGTTACTGTGTAGCTCTGCTGGAGGTCTTGTACATTGGCATGTAAATGTAGAAGTGCTTAATGATTTGTACAGCACTGTTCTAGTGGCTCTGTCTGTGTTGCAGGTGCTGTATGATGTGAGAGGCTTTCTGGAGAAGAACAGAGACACTTTTCGTGATGACATTTTAAACATGCTGAAAGACAGCAGGTATGCCTGTGAAGAGGCCACATCTGGTGGGTTGGCTAAGCCACATTCATGTAATAACTAGACCAAGGAAAGCATTTGCTTTTGCCAGAGCATCAGGCATCATTCTTAATCATTCTTCCCTTTGTGCCGGAGTGTTCTGACAAACGAAAAGAGAGTTGGAGAAGTCAAATGAAGCACAGATTTAATCAGGACTTATGTTGTCCCAGTTTTAAAAAGAGTTATAACAGCATGACAGAAATCTCTTGGCAATGTTAGTCTTCCCTTCCCCTTCGCCTTCCCTTTCTCTCCCCTTCCTCTACCCCTTTCCTTCCCTACCTCCACTGAGGGTAGCTCTAGAACTCCTCTCGCTACAAAGAGCTGTGGTTCCAATTTCATGAGCGTGTTGTGGCTGCTAGTCATCAGAGCTAGTTCAGGAGGGCATGACAGCACCAGTCGAGCTGGCATACCTTCAAGGTAGTTTTGCCTGGGGGCATATAGCTCAAGGGAGGTGTCCTAGCCAGCGCAGAATGGAGATTTTCCTTTGTGTAATGTCCTGCTTGAGAGCATGAGATGGGGTTTCTGGCTCTGCAGCAGAGTGTGACATACAGGGCAGCCTGCGGGTTCTGGGCAGCCACATGGAAAGTATTAATTTCCTCACTGAAGTGCCCAGCTGAACTGCCTCCTGCAGCCACTCTGGCACAGCAGGAATAAAAATGAGGTGTTTCACAGTGGGACCAGGCAGTTGCTGAGAATGAGAGCCATCTTCTCACAGGTGTTAGAGGTCTTGCATCTTCTTTCATTCTTTTCTTTTCCCTTAGGCTGGACTTCATTTATGACCTTTTTGAAAGAGTCTGCAGTCGTTGCAATGAAGAGACACTGAAGATGGGCACCCAGAGGCGCAGACCGACTGTCAGTTCCCAGTTCCGGGTATGATGTTTTCCAAGAGAGCAGCAGGCTTCTGGGGAGGAGCAGATGGTTAAGCAAGGCCTGCAGCCAAGAGGAGTCATTCATCCTTGTTTTATGTCCAGCACTGAAAATGTGCAGGAATGTTGCAGTGCTAAAAAAAGACAGTGCCACTGCCCCAAGGATTTCTGTCTGGTGTATAATGTGAGAGATGCTGAGACTGAGCAGGGTGGCAGAGGGAATATACTTTGCTAAGTATATGAAATTCTTGAGGTTCTTTGATCTTTCATATTGGTTTGGTGTTTCAGCTAAGTGTACGTGTCCTTTTAGGCCACATTTTTTACAAGTATTGTGACAATTCCAATAAAACCTTATTGGGAGGACCTTGCAGGTATGAATCTTACCTCCTTAGATTGTCTGCAAACCTTCCGTTCATTTCACTGTTTTATCTTCCTGCATTTAAAGTTTGAGAGACATGTAAAATTAACTCACGTGAGCTATACAGCTCCAGGTAAACAGTGTTAGGAGCAAACTAATTGTGTGAGTATGTTTTGGAAAGGAGGGGATCTCCTGTGTTGTTGAAATTTTGGAAGGCAGAGTCAAAGGACATTAGAATGTGAGGGCTGCATGAAGACCCTGTTGCTTCAAATGTAGCCCCTCTGCCTTCTGTAGTCACTGATCCTTTGGGGTTTGTCTTGTTGCTGTTTAGGATTCTCTCCATTCCTTGATGGCCACGCTTAGTACTTCCAACCCATTCTTCATCCGCTGCATCAAACCAAATACAGAAAAGGTAAGTCTGTCTCCCAGCAAAATACATTCATGAGACAGAGGCCTGCATGAGCACTCACTTCTTGCACAAATGCCAGGCAGGTGCCTCAAACTGAGGATAAGAGCAGTTCCTCCTCACCTTCCCTTTTTCATTCTAGTTATTTTACAGCTGAGGAAAAACAAACCTTCCTCCTGGTAATCAGATGGAAAGGCTGCATGCTGAGTATGAGATTATATAGCCATTCCCACCTCTTTCAGTGCTTATGAAACCTGGAAGATGAACCAGGCTTGTGCAGAGCCCAGAGCTGTGGTAGAAGAAGCAATCACTCCTGTTTGAGGTGCCTGTAGAGAAATTTGTTCTGGAATGCAAGACTTGTGCAGTAGGAAATGTCTCCTGCAGATCCCTGGCTCTGAGGCAGAGGAGGTGGACGCTTCATTAGCAAGTCACAGTCCTTAGAGATAGGCTGACTCTTGCTTGTATTGTGAACTGTGGCGGGAGGATATGCTGCAAACTATATTGGGTGGGGAGCTCTGAACTGATCCTTTTTTGTGTGTGTTTTGAAACTGTGTGTGATACGGCAGAGGACAGCCTGCTTAGGGGATATGTACCAGAAAAGAATTCTGTAGTTTTTCTCCACTTTGACTGGAGAGAGACTGCAAAGAGAACTGAGTCAGGGTTCTGCACTCTGTATGTGTTAATGCATTATGTCTTTGCTTTCCTACCATGATCTGACTGTGAGTGCAGTCTCCAAACTGTTTTTTTTTTTTTCAGGATCTGCCCAGCTCCCTTTCTTCCCATATTCTGCACCGTGCAGTGTTGTGAGGTTGCTTTCCCCTTGACCCAAACTTCCTCCTTTTCACCTGGCCTGCCCAAATATGCAGGGTTGACTTTCTACACAGAAACAGATATACAGCCTGAGACCGTGCTCAGAGAAACAGTGACTGTTCAAGCCAGCAAAGACATTAATACCAAGATCAATATTTACTCTGTCTCTCTTATTTGTTTTTTATTCTGGATCATTATGTAGGCGCCAAATCTCTTTAATCCAGATGTGGTTCTAAATCAGCTCCGGTACTCAGGGATGCTGGAGACAGTGAAAGTTCGAAGAGCAGGTTTCCCTATACGGCGCCTTTTCCAGGACTTTCTCAGCAGGTAATTGCTGTCATTGTCTCATATGCTGTAACAGCCCCAAGGTATATAATTCCATATGATTGTTCCATTTTTAACTGCTGCTTCTGGTATGGATCATTTGTGGGATGTTCTTCTAACCATGACTTCATTGCCCATAGCATAGACTGATCTGGAAGCCCTTCTGAAGACTTACCTTTAGGGTAAAAGTCAGAACGGAAAAATAGCCAGATGGTCTTCTTTTTTTTTTTTTAGCTTCGCACAGATTTGCTAGTGTGATGCTGTGAAACCCAGCTGGTCATAATGTGTAAAAAAGAAAATACCATACTTAAAACCTTTAGGTGGCTGGAGAAAATTTTAATGGACAGTATAGTTGATGATTAATATTGGAAAGAGTGATTACTTCTTTTAATTAGCCACATCGAAAGGATTTCTTGAAATTTAAGGCTAGAAGAAATCACTGAACATTGCTTTCTTTGTCTCTTGGAGCATTAAATGCCACCCCTATACTGAACAAAATAACTTGTGTCTGATGAAAGCACATGTTTCAGAAAGACAGTTGTTCTTTACTGAAAAATTCTGTTGAGTTAGTATTTTTTTACTGGGATTGCAACAATAATTGCCAGTGTGGTAGGAACAGATAAAGGCTGGGGGATGGAAATTTCCAAACTGGAAGGCAAACATGAAGAAGGGAGGTCCCAAGGGAAGAAGGATTAATGGGAGAAGGATAATTAGAGTTAAAAGACTGGGGAGAGAGAGAGGGAAGGGGGCTGTTACTGTCATAATCATAATCTCATGAGACTCTGTTTCATTCTTAGGTACAAGATGCTCGTGAAGGGAACAAGTCTCTCAGACAACAGCAAAGCTGTATGTGCAGGTTTTCTTCAGACCTATGACAGCAGCAAGAAAGAATGGCAGTTGGGTAAAACCAAGGTACTTCATCAGTGTGGGGCAGGGCATGGCTTTGTTCCAGCTGCAAGGGGAGGCAATTGCATCTGGTGAGATTCAAGGCAGTAGAAAAGACAATGCAGTCCTGATCCTTTAAATACACTGGCCTATGTCATTGACCTGTAGCATCTCAAATATTTCCCATATTTTGTACCTAGAGATGTAGAAGGCTTTTTGATTTTGTCTAAATTCCTTCTCATTGACTACACCAGATTGATTTTGTTGTGTCTGATCCAATTTAAGGATTCAAGGAGAACAAACATGGGTCTCATTTTATGCAACTGTAACGTGTGCCATTAATTCTTGCCTCTTGTGCCAGGTATTTCACTCTGCTTGGCTAACCAAAATTCTAGCCTGAGGCAGTGAGCTGCTGCTTGGTATATATCTAAACTGTGAATAGCTAGACCAGCAGATGTGTGACAGCTTTCTGTTGTGGAAGCTCAGATGATGGTTTGTGCAGTGAGCCCAGGTGCTAGCATACATTTTCTATGAAAAGGTATCCAAATGCTTCTGCCCACTTGCGTAATTCAGACTTTGCTTGTGCTTTGGTGAAAGCTTAACACTTCTCTCTAGCCTGGAATAGTCTGGATTTTCACAGAGAAATAGATGTGAGCATTGTGAGGTATATTGCTATAGAAATCTGGGACTGTGAAACTGTCTCTAACTTTCCACATACTCCAGTAAATTCTTCAAAGAATATTCCAAGATGGATGGTGTCCAGTGCAGACAGCGTTTCTCAATAGTGGGTATGCAGTCCATATCTAGAGCAGATGGTTGTCCATCAAAGCAACTTCTTGCATTTTTTTGTCCTTAAGCTTTCAGAAAAGTACTTCAGAATATTTCAAGGGTCACATTGAAACCAGAAGTGATTTCTAGTGAACATGCACATTTAATTTGTCCGGGAGATCAAATAACAATATTTGTTGCTTTGAGCAGTGATTTCTCAATGAGTGCACAGACTATAATGTTTTTTTAGAGAGCAAGATATCTTTCTCCCCTTCCTACAGGAGTGGTGGTAGCCCAGTTTGTAGTCTGAGCTATGAGCTCCATGTGACAACCAAGGAAACCACTGGCCATTGTAGTGGGAAGGAGATATATTAATGTGAAGTTTGGTTGATTGATTGTTTTTTTTTACATGCCTCCACTGATACTCAAGAAAGAAGGTTTTATCGCTTAGCTGTATTTCTGCTCTGTAATTAAAGTGTTCCCCATCTTTGATTTGAGCATCTGGAGTCTCCTTACTGATCCCTGCAAGCCAGGAACCGTTTTGGTCATTCCTGTCCCTAGATAACCCACATTACTTGGGTGACTGCCAGTCTCCTAGCATTTTAGTATTAAAACCTATGTGGAGGTTGTGTGTGTTGCAGAGCTGCTTGTGCCTGGAAAGCTTTAGAAAGCAGTGGTTAGAGCTGGTAAACGTGGAGTTTGAACATTCTTCCTAGTGTGACAAGAGTGGAAGATTGCTGGGCTACAGCAAGGGCAGCAGGAGAATGCGTGTGAGGACCAAGCTCACACGCACATACCTTGTGGAGTACAAAAGGTAATAAGCTATATAGCTGGAGTCCAGGGACTACAACAGAATGACAACAAGCAGGAAATCCAGGCTGCTTTGAGTCCTTGGCAGCAATAGGATCCCTTTTCAGTCTCCATTGTGCATCACGAAGGACCGAGTCCATCTGTTTTCATTCAATTCTTGACCTGCACAAATTATTTTGAAAAAACAATATACAGGTGGTCATTGTGGCAAAGAAAATGTGTTTGTATTTTGGCAAAACACTGGATGCACTCTAATGTATTTTTTTTTTAACAATTGTGTCCTGTAATCTAAAAGATATCTGAAGAGCTGTATGTGGCATGTTGGTAAACAGCAGTCTCTCTGTTTAGGACCCTGGTTGCTGTAGATTGGAATATTGTGGGAAGAAAGAAATTATTAAGAATGGCAGTCTTTGTATTTTTTAATTTCTTTATGCCTGAGAAGGAAAATTGACAGGAGTTGGGAAGCAATTGAGCCATCTTGTTGGGTTGTAGAGGTTATTTTATATTGGGCATGGTTTGAATTAGAGATGTGTGTCCTGGTAAAGGGTAACAATTCTATTTATTTAAAGAATGGATCACTCCAAGACCGTCCTGGCATGTTCCACCCTTGCTGCCATGCTGAATGGCTGGCCAGCCCCTGGTACTTCAAGGTGCTGTCATTCCAAGGTGCATTGCCTTGCCATTTCGTTTTTCAGATGAGTTGCTTGGTGTTCTTTCTTTTGCAAAGCTATTTCATTCTTGCTATCGAGACTACTCTGCAACTCAGCTTTATGACAGTGCCTCCAGAAAGCCTGCCCCTAGGGAAGCAGATGCCAAGGTGAGGTGTGCAGAGCAGTGGTGCTTCCTGGTAGTACCTTCCCTGCTGCCTGTATCCAGCTGTTGTGTCTTGGTTTTGGAATACAGAGTGCTTTTTCTGTATTCATGCTTTAGCTGGGGCTGGGTAACGCAGGCCTAGAATACTTGGGTTCATGAAGAAAAGAGCCTTAATTTTTCCAGAGGCTTTCAGGTAAGAGTGAAGTGAAGCTACCACCTAAGGGGTAGTGTAGGTCATTGTCCTGAAAAGGAAGTCCCCTGTGTGGCCTTACTGCCACTTTTGCTGCTACAGGTGCAGCTCTGGGTACTCAGGTTGTGATTCCCAGAACTAACCTTGGCTCATGGAATCAGGAGTAGCTACTGAAAAAGGTGTGACAAACCACTGGGGATGTAACCTAGGAAGAAGTATAGGGGGTGGGTGAAGAGCAAGGCTTATAGAAAGGGGAATACTTCCTGCAAAATGAATGGAAGGATAATTATATCCCTAGCAATTGTTTGAAGGAGGAAGGAAAAGACTCTGTGAATTAGTGCAGGGGATTGTGAAGCTTGGGAAAGGAAACGGAGGAGGAAGGGCAGGATGATCTTTGTGTTTTTCATTAAGAATAGAGCAGCTGCTGTGCTGGCAATTGTCAAATTAATGTTTATAAGAAGTATTAATGTATGCAAGGCAGGTTTTATCCGATATTGTTGGGAGTTGAGGGCTTGGATGCAAACAAGCAGTGTGATGATGAAAGAGGTGGTGCTAAGGTACCCTTGTCTTCACTGGAGATGTGCTGGCATGGAGCAGCAGTTTCCATGCCCCTTTCCTCAGTGCCCTGGAACTTCTGCCATACTTGCCCATACCCACAACACAGATTTCTTACAGCTGTTTAACACAGTAATTCTTGCTATTTGAAGGCATTAATTTCCACATTTCAACCTGCTGTTTTGCAGGGCCTATCTGAAGGAGGAGGTTGCTGTACATTGTTTGGCATCCAGGTCACAGTGACCCACTTCCTGCTTTCCCAGTGTTGTCCCCAAGAATCATATGATCCCACTTTTGTACACATGGGTGCCCATTCGGTGTCTGCTGATTTATACGAAAGCTTAACATGTTTGCTGTCACACTGATGGTGCATACAGGCATTATTGAGGTTGTGTGAGGAATGCTGTGGTGTTGCACTGTGGTTTAAAACTTGGCCAGTGTCTAGCATGAGTAGGTATGATAGAGGTAACTTTGTATGTTTTGTTCAATCATTCCTTCCTCAGGTGAAAGTGATCTCATGTTTTCAGAAAACAACTATGAATTATGACCAAAATAAAGGCCACCTTCCAGTTTATTTCTACAAGGCATCAAAAATATTTCTGGACTTGAATGCCTGTTACTCTTCCTTGTCATCTACAGGAGTCTTAAAAATACCCAAACAAACCTGCAAAATGCCAACAGCTTATAAGTAGATATCATTATGTTATTCGAGATTAACCCCTCACTCTCAAGTGTATATAGATCCTATAATCCTACAGGATTAGGGCTGGATCTCATAGAACTCTGCATGCCCTGAAGTTTTTCCCCCCCTCCTTATTGGCCTGGTCCAACAAGACAGTGCTTGCTATGGAAATGCTGATGGCCTGACTATTTTTGCAATTTGATGAAGATAATGGACTGAGACAGTGTTTTGGTGGCTGCATTCTTGAAATGGGGTGACTGCTGCTTGGTTTTGGAATGTAATGGAAAGAGCAATCTCTGCCTCAGAGAAGTTTTGAAAAGATTGTTTAGTTGACAGTGGGAGTAGATATACAACTTGCAGGGAAGAATGCCAGCTTCATGGTTGGCAGTACCTTGATAATGAACCTTCTTTTAAGGCTACCCACGGTTACTTAGTCATTATAAAACAGTTCCTTTCTTAAGGCCATTTTAATGGAAACTGCTTCCCGAGAGAAATTTGAGTCCAGGAAAGTCACTGGCTATAGGTACTAACTCAGGGAGAGGTGTCAGTACGCAGTGGTCATTGCAGGGGGAAAGAAGAGCCTTAGGGCATGAGGCCAAAAGCAGTGATGGAAGGGAAGGTATACAGAGATAATAAGGGGAGGTAAGTGGGGAGGAGGAGAGTTTGTATAGAACACTGAGACTAGATGACTGTTCAAATCTCTGGCCTCTCACCATAACCACATGGATCCAATATACTTGTAAGGAGTTTTTACTGATTAGTGTGGTTCTGCAGATTGAGGAGTGTCAGCTCACACCCTGCATACACGGCAGTGCTTTACCAAGTGGGGCAGCACTTTACTAATGTAGCCTGTTCTGCTGCTGGCCCTTGAAGTGCCAATGCCAGGCAGCAGGTCACACGAGCTTGACCATATGGCAGTTGCTGCTGTGACTGCAGCTTGTATGGACATACCTTAGCCAGCTTATTCTAGGCTAGGTACTGCTAGCAGTGTACCCACAGCGCCGTGGAGCTCCATGCAGGCTGCAGTCCATCTCAAAAAGCAATGCATTTATTTCAGGAGTTTGTGCTGAACCCTGTGCTAACCTTATGCAAGCCAGCTGCTTTAACATTGCTCAGATATGTCAGTACAATTCCTGTAAACATGGCCTTATCTTGCTTGTATCTCAGTTCTTTTGTCTCTTAAGTAGCATCTTCATCTTTCACGAGCATTTAGCACCGAGCAGAGGTTTGAAATACAGGTGATGGAAGATGCTTGAGAATTAAAATACTGGACATTGAAGTGCAACAGTAATATTTGAAGACTTGTACTGTCCAAGCTCAGTTGGCCCTAGTGCATGCTGCACTGCTGAACCTCTTCAGCACGGAAGCATCTCCACCCCAGAGTTCTGGAGGTTGGTGGAGGGCTCCAGCTCCGGTGGGCTGAAGGTACACACAGCTTTGCACCTCGACTGGGATTTTGGCTTTCAGACTGCCTTCCATTATTAAGCTTGCTGTTAAGGTTGCTTCCTGGAGTCCAGAAATATAAAGGTTCCTCCCTTTTCCTTGAAACGCGGAGGAGTTTCTTTGCAAAATATATAATCTCCCAAGTAGGTCCCGGTGCCTGCTGCAGGGCGGTACCGGATTGTGCAGGGAAAGCTGTCAGCTGAGAAAGAGTTAATCACAGGCGCAAGCACGGGCTCTACTCCTCCCTCCTCTTTCCCTCCTTCCTCTGCTCCCTCCCTCTCTCTCTCTTTTAAGTCTTGACCACAGAGTGAGGGAGGCGGGGGTTGGGCACGGAGTTTGGCTCCTGCCGCTGCAAAACTTTTCCCCGGCGCTCGGAGTGCGGGCGCCGCGGGGCAGCGCCGGGGCAGGCGCGGGGGCCGCCCGGGCACGGAGCGCTCTCCGCGCCGCTCACCCGGGGATGAAACCTCCCGGCTCTCCCGGGGACTGACTTCTTTCCTCTCTTTGTGTTTACTGAAACTCCTCCCCGTGGCGTCAGGTTTTCCTGAAGGAAGCTCTTGAGCAGAAGCTGGAGAAGGATCGGGAAGAGGAGTTGAGGAAAGCAGCTATAGTCATCCGGGCCCACGTCTTGGGCTACATGGCAAGGTCAGTGCTGGGGGCTGCCCCACCATCCCTGTGCTTGCGTGCCTGGATTGCCCTGACCCCCTGCTTTGCTCTCTAGTCCCCTAGCATCCATCCCGTCTTCCCCTCCTGTATTCTAAGGGAGAGTTGCAGGATGTGCCCTCCCTGCCAGCACTAGCTCTATTGAAACCTTCCTGCACCTTTGGCACCTTTTTTAGTTCTGTGCACGCTTGCACCCTCCCTCAACGCTGCTCAGCAGGCTCCTCGGGGACCTCTGTACACATTGCTTGCCTCTGATGACACCTTTTCCTTGCCTTCAGGGCTCTCCTGGCTGGGCCCCACCTACTCTTTGGGTCCTCTCCTTTTCCTTGTGCCTGTCAACTCTGTTTTCTGCTCCCCTGCAAATTGCTTCTTCCTCACTTGCAGCTCTGCCTTTGCTTACCCTCTTTCCTCGCCCTGCCTGTTTGCCTCGTGATCTCCCTCTCCTTTTAATTAACTCTTCAGAATTGGTTTTTGGCCAGCTCTGCAACAGTAATCTCCTCTTGCCGCTCCCTTTTGCACCTGACCAGAGAAGGTTTGGGAGAACAAACTGCAGGCAAACTGCCCCTCCTCTGCCCCTCGAAGTCAGTGTAACAGCTGACTCCTTAATGGCTGTGGCATGCACACTTAATCCCAGTAAGATGCTCTTTCCTGGCTGGTCTCTGCTCCAGACACCTGTCAGTCAGGGGTGTGAGGAGGTGAAATCCCTGGCCAGCAGCGCTGTTTCAGCAGGCACTCTTCTTAGAGCTCCAGTTACACCAGGTAGCTCATTTTGCATTGGGAAATGTGTGCAAGGGTTGTACCCTGCCTTGCCAGTGTGGAATATCAGCAGAATACACATTTGGTCTCTGGAGCTTTTATTCATTTATTTATTTCCCTCTAGGAAGACAAATGAGCTGCCTCTATTGTTTGTACATGAGACTGCAAGTTTTTTGTGTCAGGGCCTCTGCTCTGTTTTACTTTGTGTCTAGCATTTGGAGAGAATAGTAGGGATTAGCACAGGAAAATTGATTTTCTGGGAAACATCACCGCAGGCATACTGGATTACTGCTTTTCTGAGTTCCTGGTAAGGTAGCTGCTGCCCTGTAGGGCTGTGATAGAAGACAGTGTGGCAGCAGTGTTCCTCTTGGTTAGAAATCTTGTGGTCCTTCAGCCTCCACAGATCTGAATTCCCCGTCCCACATGTTGCCCTTCTGAGTCTCATCTTTAAGAACAAGCTGTGCTTCTGCAGCCAGAATGGAAATCCTCACAGGTGTCTGGAGGTAGCTGGACTTTGCAAGGGAGGAGAGCAGGGAGTGAACAAAGGTTTTCCACTCTTTCTCTCTGGTTCTTTCTGTGAAGAGTTTCCAGTTGCATTGCACCTGTATTGAAAATAAGTCCAGCAGGCAGGAGTTCATCTGGGCAAGTGCTGAATGGTCTGTGCAGAGCTGGGCAGAAGTCAGGAGTACCAGTGAGTGCTACCTTAAGCTTGATACCATTTCTGTTAGTTTTGCAAGTATAAGTGTATTTAAATTCATTTGGTCTCATGCAGAATAGATTGGCGAAGGAAGGATTTTGCTGGTTCCTTTCCCTTTGTGAACTTGTTCTGTGAGCCTGGAGAATCAGATTTTCTTTGCTCTCATTCCCTGCAGCCTAGTATTTCTGACTGGTCGCTAAAAGGTAAGACAGGGAAATCAAGCCAACTGAAATGACCCCATTTTTATTTAACTAATCTGTGCAGCTCTGAGATGCAGGTAACAGCTTCACCAGCCCAAATACACATAATGCAGGATCCATGTGCAAATTCGGCTGTGTCCCTGGATTCTGCAGGACTATTGATTAGGAGAAGAATACAGTAGCAAATTGCTCTATAGCCCTGCGTTGTGTAGTCCTTGGAGGCATAACTGCCAATTTCTGCTCATTAACAGAATAATTAACTAAATTTCAAATAAAGCTTTGGAGCCTTGCAGCCACTCCGTCTTCTCTTGTGTGATACATGGTCAGGATGTCTCCCAACCCTCGGCATGGGCTGCCAGTCGAATTTCTTCGGCCAGTGCAAGAGCGTGAGTGGAAGGCTGAGCAAGGGGAATGAAGTTCACAGCCTGTGTGCAGCAATTCCAGCTGAAGGGCGTCTGCGAGCTTGGCTGTGGTCATTAGGAATGAGGGGGCACTTCAGCCTGGCAGATTAGCAGGCAGAGCTGGCCTGTAGGCAGGGCTTGGCACTTGAGAGAGTTTCTGGCAGATGCATTTTGTAAAAGTCAGACCACCCTTTTTGATGCACTTATATCTGCCTTGGCAAAGAGTGCACATGCAGCTGTTCACGCCCCATGTGCAGGACACAGGGAGGGCAGAGGGAGTAGGGGCGAGGGGACTGCAGCTCAGGAGCAATTAATCTAAAACCTCCTACTTCTTATCATGTCTTCCCTTTCCTCTTCTCTATGCTTCCTCCCTTTGACTTAATACTTATGGAAAAGAGTGTGACCTCTGCACACTACTACTATTAGCATCCCTCTCCTGATTTTCTTGACTGGGCTGATGTATCTGATGTGCAGGGAGGTGGCAAGCTGTCAGCATGGGTCCCTGTTGCCATCTGAAGGGAATTTGATTGCCAGGACAGGGATTTTGAGATGTGTCTTTTCCTCACGGTGTTGCAGAAGGTCCATGGGAAGGATATGTGAGAATACTGTGATATTTCCAGTGTGCTTTCTAGTACTGTAAGACCTCACAGGATTACTGTAGCCTGTTGGCTCAAGATCCCGCGTAGGAGCCCCATAGAATTTCCCTCTGCAAATTCTGATTTGGATTAAAGAAGGGTTTTATTTGAATAGCACCAATGATTGTTTCCCTACAGCAAGTTATTAAGGTGTCTAAATATATTAAGTTACTTTAAAAAATGCCCACTTATTTTCAGCCTTAATAGTTGTCGGCTTCAAGTTGGTTAAATCTTGTTATATCTCCTGTTGGAAAAATAGAGATGCCACCCAGAAGTGTGGTACTTTGCCTGGTATCAGCGTTTTCTATTTCTTAAGGCAAGTGCTCTCATTCTGTAAGGCTGAATTTCTGATTCCAGTCCTGCTTCCTCAGAAATCACTTGAGGATCTAACATTTTTCTTGGAATGGGGGTGCCAACACAGAACAAAAGGATAAAAGCAACAGTGTAATCCCCTTCTGCGCAATGTTTCCACTTGCAAGTATAAGAATCCCATTAGTATTTTTTTCTATAGCATTATGATGGGAGTTTGCCTTTACCCGATGATCTGGGGCCCAAAATTCCGTTTTTGACTTGCTGCTTTCCAACATAGTTGGACATCAGGTGTGTTTGGCCTTTGGTTCTTCAATACAAGACCTTATGGTTGACTCTTTTGGGTTGTTTAATGTTTGTTTGAATCTAGCTTACAAATTGATCCAGATTACTGTGTGCTAATAACTTTTACTATTTGCTCGGTTTGTACAAACTTCTACCAGGAACTCTTTTTCAGGTCCTTGATAAAAGTTGTAATGCAGAGCCAAAACCTGATTTATTTAGAACTTTACTAGAAATAGGGAATTATGATTCTTTTGTTTCGGGGCCCTATCATGTTTTAGAGTGCTGTAAAGTTGATTTTCATATCATTTGATGATCTTTGTGAGTCCCTTCCAACTCAGGATATTCTATGATTCTTGTTTAGGCAAAATGTTGTGCAATAGAAGTATTTGTTTATGTGAACCTGTTAAAATGTTACATTCAATGATCAATATTGTAGTATCGATGTGTTTTCCCCTAGGCAATATGAAATTAATGTGACCAGTTCTATTTTTGCACTTTTTTTGCTTTTTCTGGAGTAATTTGTGTTTGCCCACTTAAAAGATGGGGCAATATGGGACTTTGTTCTCTTATAGTAAGGTCATTTGTATTTTATTATAATAAATTTGTTTTTATTATAGTAAATACACACTGAATTATTATGTTAATTGCACAGCGAATGTGTGTATGTGCAATGCAAGGAGTCTTTGGCCCAGAGGACTTTCCCTTTCCGTGTGCCAAATAACCCATCCCTTATCCTCACAGAGTCCTCACAAAAGTAGGTGCCTATGGAAACAAACCAGTGGTAGATGTAAGAGGGATAACACTGAGGTGAATATGATTTACAGGTAGTGGCAGTAGTGGAGCAGAAATTGTGTCATTTCCAAACAGTGTTTTTCCCCAAATAATTTTTCTGTGGAGGTGGTCAGATACAAGGCATGAGAAGTGCAGAGCATGTATGACTTCACTGGCGCATTAAGTGTCTGGTTCTGTTTTTAGGAAGAAGTATCAGAAGGTGCTAGCCAGTGTCGTTGTAATCCAAAAGAACTACCGAGCGTACTTCTGGAAGAAGAGCCTGCTGCGACTGAAGGCCTCTGCGGTCACCCTGCAGAAGCACTGGCGTGGCCGCCTGGCTCGCAGCCTCTACCAGCACCTGCTGCAGCAGGAACTCAGGCGGAAGCAGGAAGTGGAGGAGAGAAGGAGGCGAGAAGAGGAAGAACAGATCAGAAGAGAGGAAGAGGAAAGACAATGGCAAGAAGAGGAGGAGCGTAGGAGGAAACAGGAAGAGGAAGAGGTGAAGGAAAGGTACAGGATGGTATCTTACACTCATAGTTCCCTGGCTCTAAAGCTACTAAAGTGTCAAAGCGAGTCTGGGGCACTGGCATGGTGGTAACACTGGAATACCAGTTGCATGAGACAGTGTCCCAGTGCCAGCAGGCAGAATTGTGGTGGCCTGCGGCCAGCATAGAATAGAAAAGCAGCATGGAAAAGGAGTGTCCTGCTTCCTTTAGGAAAGGTGTATTTTTACTTCTGTTTAGTGTTTTTTTTCTTTGAAGTCTACATACAGGAGACAGATTCACTGATTGGGCAGAGATGCATAATTCTCTCATTGCCTTTGCAGCAGTGAAGGAAATTTTATGCAGTCTTCCAAAATCTGGAGGGATTAGAAGTGTGAGAAGGTACCAATATTTTAAGTCTTGGTGCAGCAGGATCAGAGAGCAAGTTGTGGCAGCATACCCATGCTACTGCAGTTGCTACACTCATGAGCATACACATGCTGTCTCTCATCAGGGATATGGATGTGTCAAGAGATAGGAAAGGTAAAGGAAAAGCTAATGTGACAAAAAGAGGTAATCTGTGAGCAGTGACAGTACACCTAAAGAGAATCCTGCACCTCATGCATCATTTACTGTTCACTATGTGGTTACCTACCTCCTATCTATTCTACTATCCAAACTGGATGTCTCCCTTGATAATCTTCTGTTTTAAGAAGCGTAAAACTTTAACTACAAGATTATTATATAAATTTCAACAAATAATCATGTGATGTTTTGTTTTTCGTGAGTAGTTGGTTACATTTCTTCTAGGCTTTTATTACTTACTTGTCCCAAAGTTGGATCTTATCAGATTGTGTGGCAAGCATCAGAAAATTCTACAGTTAGAAGCATGTTGCAAGGAAAAGAGATAGCCTTCAGTTCCCATGGAGACAGTAGGGTGTTGTATCTACTGGGACAAGACATGGAGTTAGTGGTGCCAGTGATGAAGTTTGGTCAAGAAATTAGTTGAAAAACACTGAAGTCTCCATTTTTGTCAATGTGTCAATTTTCAACAGTAGCCTCATCAGCAACTTGAAGCTGGGCAAGTTCAGAATGTCAGTAACTAGTTTGCAGATATCAAATGCTCCAGACGCTCTCTCAGGTCTGATGTCCTTATTGTCCTAAGTAGAGTTTGTCTATACCTAGATAGGGTGTGGCCTCACCTTTAGTACTGTGTGCAGTTTGGGGCATCACAGTATAAAAAAGACATTAAGCCATTAGAGAGCGTCCAGAGGTGGGCCACGAGGATGGTCAAGGATCTGGAGCAGAAGCTGTATGAGGTCACTTGGTCTGTTCAGCCTGGAGAAGAGGAGACAGGGGAGACCTCGCTGTGGTCTTCAGCATCCTCATAAGGGGAAGGAGAGGGGCAGGTAAATCTCTCCTCACTCTTGTGACCAGTGACAGCACTCAAGGAAATGGCATGAAGCTGAGTTGGGGGAGGTTTATTTTGGATATCGGGAGAAAGGTTTTCAGCCAGAAGTGGTTGAGCACTGGAACGGGCTTCCCAGGGGAGTGGTCATAGCACCAAGCCTATCTGAGTTCAAGAAGTGTTTGGACAATGCTCTCAGGCACGTGGTGTCCTTTGCAGGGCCAGGAGTTGGATTCAGTGATCCTGATCAGTCCCTTCCAACGCAGCATGTTGTATGATTCTGTGATGAAAGGAAGAACCTATCTAGCTTATTGATTATAGTGGTTTTGCCCTTTAGTTCCCAGCCCATGAAAGATATGTTCATCCCAAGCATCATAGTAACCAAGTGTCAGTGTTTCTAGAAATCAGGTGAACTCCTTGTTTTTCTTTAATTTTCTAGTTAATGTCAAAAGGCATCAGAGTGAGTAAACAAAAAGGTACTAGCAAACCAACTTGGCTAAATCCTGAACTTCCATTTAACCTAAAAAATGAGGTAGAAGTCCACAGAAATTGCAGATCGGCTAATCTACTGAGAACAAGCAGAGACAAAATCAGAAGGACTTAGATGCAACTTTAGGTGGAATGAACTAAAAGTTGGTGTGCAATTATTGTGCATACACTGCTTGCAAAGGGGAGACATGGAGTAATTTGGTTTTACTGCTAACAGGAAGAAAAAAAATTATGGAGAAAACTGAGGTATTTGATGCTATTTTTATCTTCCCCAAAAGCTTAACTGTTGAAAACTAAATACAATTAGCAAACATGTGCAAAAATTCAGAACATAACTTGGTAATAAAAGGTTAGAAAATGCTCAGATAAGTCAAATTACAAAGAAGGAATTGGGACTCGGTGAAAATAATGTTTGAGTACTCTGAGAACTAGCTAAAGCAGTTCGGAACACTGGCATTCTCTTTGTCCTCCTATGTGGACAGCAACAGAGTTTCCATAAAAATGGAAAATTCCAAACATTTTAAAATTGTAAAAGGAAGAATGGGGGAATTGTGGACCAGTCAGCCTAACCTTAAATTCAGGAATATAGTTAAACAAATAAACAGTTGTAAATGCTTGATAAAGAAATCGAGAGCCAGTGTGGATGTCTGAAGAACAAACAGGATAACTGAATACAGTTATCTGAAAAACAGGATAACTTTCAATACAGACATATACAGATCTACAGTTAGGAATAATCAAATGCACAGGAAGAGAAGGAGGAATACCTACTTCAACATCAGGAAGAAAGTCTGGAGACTAAATTGAGTATGTCACCAGTGTCATGCTGTGTGAGAGGAGAAAGCAAATGCTGTATATAAATTTGATTGTTTCTGTGAGATGTGGAGGTGATTCTTCTGTACCGCTTGGTACTGGTAAGGCTTCAGTTGAAGTACTGTCCCTGGCTTTGGGTATCACATTTCAGGAAGAGTGTAGATCAGTTGGAGATGACTAGAAAGCAGCATGAAGTTTCAGAAGTTTAAAAAATGTGAGGAACAGTTGCAGGAATTAGTACGTAGATTATAGCTGGTATTCCTAATTTGTTTTAAAATGGCTGTGCTTCTTGAGGCCTGTTATCGTTTAAGGCAGTTGTTTAACTCACCATGACTGTTCGGGATCCTTCAGTAGAGTTGGAGCCATCTGGATCTCACTTATGTCAGTTTTGATTTATAAATATTTCCTGGATTTTTTTCAGTGAGTGGGCACAAGAGTGAGAGCTTTAAGGACTTCGTGACTTGCAGCTGCAGTTTAGAATTTGGCTGGGAAAAGCTGCAAGTCCTGGGAAATAAATATCATTGCCCTCCTGTTCTCCCTCGGGTTGAATTATAGATCTGAAAGTTATCACTGCCAAGTGGTAACTTTCTTCCATCCAGCCACATCCTATTCCTGCTCCCTAAATATGTCCCTGGCATTTGTCTGTCTGTTGGTTCGGCTGCATGTAGTGTACTCGCTGTGGAGAAAATGGCCATAGTGGCAGCTTTCCCTTGGAGTACAACCTTTTTGATCTGGGTGGAGATGCAACACCGTGGGATGGGTTTTTTTTCCTCTGCTCATGTTTACTGTGAAACTCTGACTCTTACAATCTTCACTAGTAAACTAGGTTTTGCATGCCACTGAGAAGTTGTGCAAGCTGGGGCTTTAATACAGTAAAAACAAAACAAAACACAAGTTCAGTGCTGATATTGCAAAAATTCTGTTTTGTGTTAAAAATCAAACAGAGTTTCCTCATATCTAACAATTACACAAGTACAATCTCAATATTCAAAGGCTTATAGTACTTCGGAAGATTCTGTTTGCATTTATCATGGGTCTCATTTGTCTTTCTGTCACTGTTTCCAATGTCCTTCCTAGTGTGTTCCAACTAATCCAATTTCCTAATTGATCTGAAAGTTAAGTACGTGGGGAAAATCTGTTGTGTCCACAAAGGTCATGCCAACCACAGAGAATTGGATTTTTACTAAATTGCAAAAGCTTTTAAATCAAGTCTTACAGCAGGTACCTCGTTTTAACCTTTTCCATGGAGGGATGATATGTCCATGTAATTCTGAAAGCCTCATGCAGGATAACTGAGTCTGTCTCTGATTGTCATGTCTTCTTTTTTTGTCAGAGAAAAGGAGCAACTGAATGCACTACTCAAGGTGGCCCAGGTAAGTTTAACAGTTACTCTTTTCACATGAGTTCTCGTGAGTATCTGTGACGGGTCCTTCGTTGCCTACACTTTGCCTGGAGCTGATATTGTTATTGTAGCAATACTACTTTAAAAATGGGCTTTGTTCACTCAAAACCTGCAGGTGTTTGGCTTTGGCAGAGGTGCATAGAGTTAACAAGGTAGGGCTTTTGTCAAGGCTCATGTACCAGCTTGCAGAGGTTCTGTTTGAAAATTTCTATATTGAACATGTAGCATCCTTTTTTATCTCTACTGCTTGAACTTATTAGATGACCTTGTGATGTGTTACACTGTGACACAGTCTGGTTTGCTGGATTGTGCCTGTAACAGCCAAAATAAGAGTGCAACCTACTGCTGCCATGGCTAAAATAAACCCTTTGCTATTAATCTCATTGTTGGTACGTGACATATGAAAGAGCAGACCACCTACCCTAAGGTGTGTAAAAATAGCTCTGTATCTCGTTACTTCTTTTCCCAAACCACTTGTTCCCCAGCTTCAGACTTTGTTCAGGAGAGATGACAGAGTATAGAAATGCATTCATCCATAAGTAAGAATCAAGTAGAGAACAAGCAACAAGGTAACTAAAGAGAAGGAGCCAATTGACTGCATTTTCATAGTCCTATCCGGAAGTACATTAAATCCTTTCGGAATTTATTTTTGCTTTTTTCTTATGTGTGTATATTTTGTCTAATGTGTGTATGTTTTCAACAGCCTCTGTGGGGGGCGGTTATGGCTTTATCATATAGCTAAACATCAGTGAAAGTTATCAGTGTCTTCTAATTATTGTGTATCTGCTAGAAATTTCCTGTTACTTCAGTGTGGAGAATAGAATAAGACAGAGTCTTCAGCAGCCAGCCAGCCAGTGATGCTAAAGAATGCCAAGGAATTCTGGGTGGAGTTTTGGTGGGGTGGGGTTGGAGTGGATACAGTCCTGCTTCATTGCAAATATCCCTTCCAGCCCTAGATTCTGATGGTTTGACCCCTAATTCAGGAAGCAATGAAATTTCCAGATCTTTTAGTGAATTTCTGGGAAATCTTCAGCTCCTAAGCAGTCTATGCATGTATGTATTCATATATAGTTGTTTTGTCCTATACATGGGTATGTGTGTGAGTTAGCTCAGAAAGAGAGAACAGACTTTCAAACTGCTTTTATCCAAATTGCAGTGTACAAAGGGCTGTAACATGAGCAGCAGACAGAGAGGCTCTTCTAAAAATTCATTGATCCCAGTGAACTTCCCTGTATGATTCAGAAAGGAGGTAGGCTGCTGGGAAAAAGGAGGTACCTGAAGATCCAGTAGTTCTACCTTTAGCTTTTACACCATGAATGATTGCAGGATGCTTGGAGTCATCTTTTTGCAGATGGTAAGTACAAGGCAAGCACAGGAGACAGGAAGAATGAAAGGTCCAGGCAAGGAACAAATATAAGTTGAAGAAGCCGCTTTAACACTGTTATAAATTCTTTAAGGTGGAAACAGTAAAGACTGAAGAGGTGGACATTCCCCTGCAAGAAGAAGAGAGACGTCAAATGGAGGAGATCTTAAGACTGGAGAAGGAGATTGAGAAGTTGCAGCAACAGAAAGAAGATCACATGTCTGTCATCTGTGAAGACGCTAGGAATGAAATAAATCGGCAGCGAGAAGAAGAGATCCAAAGGCTGGAAAAAGAGGCATCAAGGGTTGCCCAGGAGTTCTTGGAGCTGCTGGATTTTGGCAACCTGGATGAAAGTGTGCAGAACTTAGAACGTTCACTTTCTAGTGAGGGGACACTCAACATTGACTGCAGCTTGGTGGCACCACTGGCTGAAGAAGAAGTGGATGAGGGTTTTCATGCTGATGACGAAGGACGACCACCTTCTAGTTTGGTGATCTTGAATCAGCATGGCACAAGAAACAGCGATAACTACTCAAAGGAAGTTGCTGACACAAGCCTTTCACTTCTCCAGAGGGAAGTGGGAGAGGTTGTCCCTGCTCCCAGACAACCTGTGGAAAGAATCACATGCCCCAAGGAGCAGAGAGTCATATCTGGCCCAGCAGAAAGCATTTACAGCGCTGTCTCAGATACACAGAGAAGTAACAGTGGAGAGGCAGGAGAGCCGATTTACACTTCTCCCCCAGATGTGGAGTCTGACTATGACCATGAGGAGTTTGATGGCTATGGAGATGCAGTTAATGCCTCAGCTGAGCCCCTGAACGGTGAGGAGGGTCTGAGGCACTCCCATGGTACCAGCGTAGACTCCAACCGTGGCAGCCTGGACTCGGTGAGAATCCCTTCCTTCACCTTTCTGGAATTAGTGTGAATTTGTTGATATTTATAACATCCTTGCCAGAGCATGCTTGCTCTGGGTATTGTTACTAATATATAACTCTCTCTTACATCAGTAATCAGCTGGAAAAAAAGGAAGAAGTCATAGACTGAAGACCAGAGGGCTTGTGACTGTCTGGTGTCTACTGGTACACAAGCTAGCACACATGTACCTATTTTAGATTGTTTCCGTCATCATCACCATATGTTAATATAATACTCTTTAGGAAGAATGAAAGCAGGCAGTTGCTACCTTGTAAGTCTGTATTCTACCTTAGAGAGATTTCACAGAAGGGGCCTAAGCTTCCAGTAGGCAGTGACAAGGCTGTGGTTTGATTTGTCTCCATCACAAAAACTTCCCTTGTTTTAGTTCCGTTCAGAGTCAAGAGTTTCTTCTCAGCTGCTGTGTACAAGTTAAGCTATTCTAAGGCTAGAAGAAGTTACTGTGCTGATCCAAGCTGGGTCCCAGTGCACACAACCAAGACCACTGAACCTTTTCATTCCTACTGCAGGGACAGTGACAGGGTAGTAAAGCTGTGCTATTAGCCTTGCACTTGAACCATCTCATCTTAGACACCACAGTGGCTCTGGACTTCCTGAGTGCCCTCAGGTTAGCTGCTCAGTAATGCAATGATAAATCTCCTTGCAGAACAGGGTGTCAGATAAGCCCACATAAGATTGTGAGGAGTTCAGGTGTGAAGCAATGACAGCCACAAAAATAATTCCAATAAATGATGTCCCCAAGAAGAGATACTTGAACTACAAAATATCTTTTTGAAAATGATTGATTTTTGAGTTTTTTTTAGAATTCGATTTACTTCCTTCGATATGCTTTTGCAATGACAGATTGTGACCTTTCTTAAAAAGTTGCATGATTTTTCCTGTTTGCATTTCCCTAATGTCAGCTGCCAGCCATCAGAATTTTTTATGATGTGATCTGCTTGAGTAAAGGTACCTTCTCTGTGGGCAGGTACTCACAGATCACTGTCAGGTAATCTTCAAGCCATAAATCATTCTGTCATAGCCTAGGCCAGTTTCTACTATTCTTAAAATGTAAATCAAAGTGAAGGGGTTTATTGGGCTCATCAGTGAGTAAGACTCATGAAAAATCCAGTTGATACTTTGTCATAGCGTGAGCCACAGAAAGAGATAACTCCCATCAGTAGCTGCTGGTTGAGAATACCTGATTTTTGAAACTTAATGGCAAGGGAGAGAGAGAAGGAATGAGTGGAATAGGGATGAGGAAAAAGAGGAGCACAAAGGGGTCACAGGGAGAGGAAGAAGGGAAAATGAAAATAAGCAACAGGCATTTGAGGAAGGAAGAGGTCTAAGGAGCTGCCTTCATTAGTATTAAATTACTGAAGCCAATCAAAGGTTGGCTTTAAGGTATTTAAGGTAAAGGAAATGATAGGGTAATTTAGGATTTCATGTGTGAAGTACTTTCTTATGTCTGAGGGCCATTATCTAGTTGGAGAACAGAGATGAGTAAATTCAATACTATTATTTCCTTAATTCAGATCTTTGTTTTTAGGGTTCATTTATCCTGGCCTGTACTTTTTTTTCCTAATCAACCTGAAGGAAGTAGTTTCCTTGCTGGGGTTAAATCAAGTGTTCTGTCTTGTCTGGCATTTTGACCTTTCTGCCAGAAAAATCAGAAAACTTCTCCAAAATGAAAAATTCTCTTAAGCCCATTAAATTAGATTTTGCAAGGTGGGTTCTGCCTTGAAACAGGAAGCTTTGTTACTGCAGGTAACTGGAGTTTTCTAGCCATGTCCACTGCTCTCTTTTCAAGTATGAAAATTCCATGCTCTTGCTTTAGGCATTAATGGGTAAGCTGTCAAGCCTCTAGTTTTACCGTACTGCTTTTTTTGCAAAGGGACTATGTGTAGTTTTGCACCTTCTGTATATGTGACTTCTCTAACCTTGTTAAATTTCCTCCAGTCCTCCTGCGACCAGGAGAACCCAAGTAGCCTGTATTTCTTCTTTTCCTTTTAGTTTCTGGAGAGCGAAGAAGAAGTGGATGTTTACATTGATACAGATGAAGAGTTTTGTAATGGACGAGTCACTATCTTCAATGGCTCAGGACCACCCTATTTTCACAGTTATCTCTACATGAAAGGTAAGTCTATTTATTTTGCCAAAACTATGGATGGAAGGAATCCAGGAAACCTGCTTTCCCCTTCTGTTTCTCCAGAATCATCATCCTTATTTGCTCTTAGTTCTCAGTTAATTCTTCTTTTTTTCTTCTTCTTTTATTTAAAACAACAAATAAAATGAAGAGCTAGGAGATGAGTGTCAGGGATATCTTTGCCACTGAGACCTAATTGTGCCCATTTGGTATGGGCTTAAATGACTCATTCTGAGCTACAAAACTGAAGACAGTACAAAAACATTTGAGTAGTGCGTATATTACTGTATTTTGTGTTTGTTTCACAAGTTTGTTCTGTTTTTTTTCTCTGTCTGAAATTAAACATAATCTTGTTTCTCTCTTCAGCTGCCTTGCTTCATGTAGGAACTGAAGTGGCAACTAGTTGTACCCAAGAAGCAGGATCAGAATGGAGACATGGCCCTTGTTGCATGTCTGATGAAATTTTGCTCCCTTGCTTTGCAGGAGGTCTCATGAACCCATGGAGGCGGCGCTGGTGCGTTCTGAAGAACGAGGCCTTCATGTGGTTCCGCACCAAGCAAGAGGCACTGAAGTCAGGCTGGCTCTACAAAAAAGGTGGAGGCATGTCAACACTTTCACGCCGCAACTGGAAACGCCGTTGGTTTGTGCTTCGAGAATCCAAGCTGATGTACTTTGAGAATGATAGTGAGGAAAAGCTGAAGGGGACAATTGATATCAGAAGGGCAAAGTGAGTGACAAAATAATCCCATTGATCCCTCATACTCACTCTCTAAATCAATAATGAAGTGTCCAGTGCTGCCAGTTCATCGGCTGGTGTACCTCTTGTAGGGCTGGGAGAATCAGAAACAAAGGAGGGAAAAGACAATTACAGCTTCTGCTTTTACTCTGGAGGGAGTCTGCAATTACTTGGTAGTTCTTTTCCCAGTCTTGCCTTTCATAATCCAGCAGGAGCTCTTTCCAAGCCATGGATGGAGCCAGACCAGGAGGGGCTAATTAAGTACATACCCCATGCATTCTCTCCTACCCAGACTCCATCTGTTTTCTGGCTTCTCCAGGCATTTCACAGAGGTAGTATGAAGCTCACAGCATGATTTGAATTTGGCAGCATGTGCCGTGCCTTTTGCTGAGTCCTGAATGCTCTTTCTGCTGCCATAGTTAATTCCTCAGCTTATGCTGTAAGAAAGGAGAAACTAGTCACCTATTAGCATTATGTGGACTGTAAAGTGCCAAAAAGCGTGGCACACCCAACTTTGTAAACAGACCTCTGTATCAACCTCCCTGTTATCTCTTCCTCCATCTAGTCTGCTGGTGTCTTGAAGAAAATCTGTGTAACACCTTAAGCTTTGGTTTTTAACTGTACAGATTTTTTTAAACATCTTAATGTGTATTGGAGGAATTTTCTGTCAGAGTTACAAGCCGTCTGTACCAGTTATTTCCTTTCTATATGGTGAAGGGTATCATGTGAAAGAATCAAGCAGAGGGAATTTAGACCTCTGAAAGGTTTTCAGTTTTGGCTCTTGTGCTTCCTTGTGTTTTCCAGAGAGATTGTGGACATTCATGAAAAGGAGAATGCTTTGGACATTGTAACAGAAGACAGAGTTTATCACATTGTTGCGGAGTCACCAGAAGATGCCAGGTATAAGAGGGAATTTTGTTAGATGTATTCATTCAGTGCAGGTCTGACCCAGCTACTCATGGGAGAGCCTGAGAAACAATCACTTCCCTTTTGCTGGGGAAAAGAGAGGATTTGTTCCGGAGTGTTGTTTCATGCTTCCTGGGAGGTACCGCACTTACTTTGGGGAATTCCCATTGCAGCTACCAAGATGGTGGTTCAGCCTATTAGTCATAGGACTGCCACCTTCTCATGTGTCTGTGAGCAGGCTGAATTCAAGGGTTACTTCAGGAGACACACAAACCTTAATATAAACTGGAACATCTAATAGCTGATTTATTTATTAAATGGAATCTTGAATCAAACAAAAAGTCTATTCATGTTGTCTGTAAATGATTGCGAGAGCAGCTGGATTTTATCCAGGAGACAGAGAAAAGGCTGCAGCTTATCAGAGTCTGTAGTGTCATCTGATAAAATCTTCCCAGTGCAAAGCAAACAAATGACTCATGTCCTTCCTTCTTGGCATCTTGGCCAGACAGTGGGAATCGGTTGTTTAGGGGAGGTTGGACAACCTGTTCTGGCTATGCAAAGCCAAGTTAGGTTACTGTCCCTAGCTGCTCGTGTCTTTCCACTTTTACCGCTTTTAACCAAGGCTTCTGCTCTCTCAGACCAGACAGTGTAACTGTTTCTCTGATCTGCTGATTCTGTGAAGTTATTTAGGGTCTGTTATTATTTCATTTGGTGTAGGGAGAGGAAGGGAGAAGGTGTGTAGACACAATTATAACAGAAATGGACTAAAGATCAGCACATGAACAAGAAACATGCGAATTCAGGGGGCAGTAGCTGAAGGTAACTTCTTAACCAAGAACTTCGTCAACTGCAATGCCCTAAGGTAACACGGCAGAATTGTTAGGACAAGTGTAAACAAAACGTGGCCTCTGTCTCTGTTCTCAGTCTCTGTTCTGAGGGAGAAGAAAGCACGAACACTTGCACTAGCAAAGGGCAGATTAGCAGATGTTCTAGAGTATCCAGTTTGAGAATCCTCCATGAAGTGTAGATGTTTGCTGATCTCGATGGAAGCCGCAGATAAGAATCTGCTTGTTCTGCAACAGCGATTAGCCTCCAGATATGTCTGAAGTGAGAAGCCCTTTCACAGACAAAAAATTAACTCCAAATTCAGTTATAAACAAATACATGATTAATTGCCAGCCATATGACTTTCAAGTTTATTAGCAGATCAGAGAGAGACTAGTTAAAAAGGCCCCCAGACGTCTCTAGGACTCTAGTCCAGGAAGATTCCCAACTAACCGTGTTTTTACAGCTGCTGTATGCTCTTCTCAGTCTACTGACTTGGGCTCTCTCTAAGGCCACTGCTTATTTACAGTTCCTTGAATAACAAGTAGAAAACTGGATTTTCCTGGAGCAGCTGTCAGTGGGTTGAAGAACGTGCACAGAATTTTCATGGATAAATAAGGAGGAAGGATGACATTAGAATCTAGTATGATCAGCCCAGGAGATACTTTGTGGCAATAGTACTCAGGAAATTGTGAATGAAGAAATTTTCCCAGTGGCAGCTTTCCAGGTTCCTTGATCATATTTTGGAGCTAGTTTCACTGCCCAGATTTTAACTCTGAGTCTGTTCTGATTGCCAGCGGTTGGTTTAATGTCCTGAGCCGAGTACACAGCGCTACAGCACAGCAGCTGAGGGAAATGCAGGATGAACAGGCCAATCCAAAGAATGCTGTGGTGAGTTACTGTGCAACCAGCCTGTGGGAATGCTTGGAGCCCTCTCTGTTTAACTGTTTGTGTGTGTTTTTCCAGCACATGCATTGTTGTAGAATACGAGCAGTATAAGAAAGTTGGACAGTTATTATAAAGAAACAGCAAAACTGATAGCAAAGAGAGTAAGCAGTGGGGAACATGGTGGTTGTGTTGGGTGGCTCAGCTTAATCACCTGTAGCTCTCTTCAGTTTGAGGAGAAGGAGACTGCCTCATGCAGATAAAATGTCTTTGGATGGGACTAGTCTGGGTCACAGTTGTTCCAGACAGAAGACAGCAGTTGGGAAGAACAGTGTATTTATGTATTTTGCCAGTACAGAGATACTATCAAAGGTTATTTCAGGCCTTCATAATACTTTCTGGAAATTTGTAGCTGTTTTTCCTCCAGTCCTGTGGAGCCCTTGCACTTCTTATGCTGTTTGGGGAGCAAAGATGACTCACTCATGCCTTTCTCGTATGTTCATTTCTACTCAAGCTACTGGAATTTAGAGGAATGTTTTCAGTTCAAATTCTATTCACAAAGGAGAATGTCCGTAATCTAAAATGCAATCTGTGTCTTTTTCACTGTATAGGGAACCCTAGATGTTGGGCTTATTGACTCTGTCTGTGCCTCAGACAATCCTGACAGGTAGGTACAGCAATCTGACCAGCTCTTAAATCAGAAACTCTCTAATGTATTTTTGGGGGTAGCTTCAGGTTTCTTTTGTGGTTTGTATTTGTTTAAACTCATACACCTTTTTCTCCAAATACATGAAAAACTGAGATCTTCAGCTTGTTTCAGCTTCATAGGCATGAAGTTCCTATGTGATTTGTCTTCGAGTAGAAGTTTCTCCTTTAACTCATAGAAGTGAAAACAGCCAGTAAATTATAGTCTTACCTATTAATACCACTGAACAGATATGTCCAGTAAAAGCAGCACTTTCAGTTTTTCAACAGAGTAATTTTAAGTTAATCTTGTAAATTTAGGGGAAAGAAACAGCATTATGAAAGAATAATGGATGAATTTAGAAATCTGTATTATTCTTGAAGTCTTTGCAATGCAAAGACCTTCAGTTCAGTTAGTTTCAGTGAAGAGATTATGGTACATTTCATATCACTTTTTGTTAACATTTAATTATTTCCCACATAACAGGTTCAGCCAGGACAAAGATACTTACTACAGCGCTGAAGTAAAATGTTAGCTATTTAATTGCTTACCTATGTCGTCTCTTTTTTTTTTTAACTCACACAGGTTGCTAAGACTTTGGGGTTATTAGTTTAGAAAATGCATATCAGTACTGATCTAAGATTTCATTGATAAAAACATTTTAGGCAGTTCTCAACCTGTACTCCTCATAATTAATCTGTATACCAATGAAAACAAGGAATAAATAATAAGCTGAAGAGTCAAAATTTGTTCGTGTATGTGCTGAGGTACACTCTTCTGGAGTATCAGTGTTTGAACCAACATTAAATTCTGAGGAGAAGGCTTATTCTCAACCAGTATTTTTATGCAGCTTATTTTTATCTTCCCTTTGTTTATGCAATTTTCTAACAGTTTCTTGATTTGCGCCTTTTACTTCATCCTTGCATTCCAATTTTCAATTTCTGTTTTCTCATAGAAATCTGGTTTTGCTTTCAAAGTTTTCTGAGTCTATCCCCTTTGAACTAGTCATACTGTTACTTTTCCTGTAAAGTATTGATTCTCTACAGAATTGTGAATATTCTTTTGGTAGGACACAGTTGCATGAGAAGGACAAAGTCATCTAGAAGCAACATAACAATTTTTCCTCTCTTTTGTCAGAATCAGCTCATCCTTTCTAAAACCAACTTCGAGCCCATTTTAGCTGACCCTACTGAGACCTATGTTTGCTGTTGCATCAGTGGTTTTAATAAGTTCAAGGAGAATGGCTGTACTAGCTCAGCCCAGTGGTACTAGCACTAGCTCAGTCCAGTCAGAGGGCAGATCAAAGTCCTTTGCTTATGAACTCAGGACATTTTACAGCTGGTTATTATCTAATTAATATTTTCTAGTCTTTGGAAATAGCTTTTGAAAGATATTTAATTTCATTTAGCTGGTCTCTCCTTTCATTAGTGTATAACTGCACAGAAGGTGATTTTAAGTATTTCTGCACTTCTCTGTAATTTGTATTCTGAGAGTCTTTCTGGATTGTTTGTGGGAAGATAAAAACCATGACTTTGAGTGTGCTGTGAATTGAGATATTTGCAAGATTATGGCTGACTTTAATGCTTTTGTTTTCTGGCAGACCGAATTCTTTTGTGATCATCACAGCAAATCGAGTGATTCACTGCAACAGCGACACACCTGAGGAGATGCATCACTGGATCTCCTTGCTGCAGAAACCAAAAGGGGAATCTAAGGTTGATGGCCAGGAATTCCTTGTGAGAGGTGAAAGGAAATGCATGCAATTACATGTGAAACTCCTCTTCTGCTTATAATCTGAAAGGGAGATTCTGCTAACTTGATCTAGGGTTTAGCTGCTCCCCAAAACCAGTCATTCTTTGCCCATCTCCACCTTCCTGCCAGCTGCTTGCCACATCCTGTGTGTGCTACCCCTGGCTCTTACATGATTCCCTGTCAGATGGAAAAAAATAACTACTTTATATGTTAGGTTTCTGATGTTAGTTCCATAGCTTATTTAAACATGTCCAGTGAATGCCATCAGGAATAGGAAGGAGCATGGCTGCTGTCTAGGAGCAGCTGGCTTAGATGGACTATAACATGACACTGTGGCTTTTGTTGTCAGAAAGCTGTGTTCCTTCTGACACCTGTCATGTAGAGAGGGAGGGAGAGAGATCTTCGTGGGATTGCTACTGTCCTCAGCTAAACTAACTAACCTGATTATGGTAGACATAGTGAGGTGAGAAAAATTCTCTGAGATTTAAATTATGTCTTTAGAAAGAGCTTAATCGAAGATGGTGAAGCATGAGTAGTGATCACATATATTACAAAATATTCCCTCATTTATCTCAAGCATTTGTAAACTTCCTTAATACTTTAAGCAAGAGCATGAACAAATTGCTTTACATCTTCTGGAAGGAGTCTTTGAAGGAATAAAGGTCTAAGAGTGGTCATGGCAAGGAAGGAGGACAGCAGGAAAAGGGTCACCAAAATGTGGCATAAGCCTTCCATCCTAGGCTTAAAAATTTCAAGGAGATTGAATGATATAAAGCAGATTATCAGACAACAGTTTGAGTACCTTAAATTCAAAATACTTAATTTTGAACTGTTGCAGGGCAACAGTTCCTTTTATCTCATACTGTTCATTAGTTAAAGGAAAAAAGGAATGATCCTTTGTAAAGCTGATGTATGCTCTGCGCTTCACAGTAAGATGTCTGTATGACAATAGTGTAGCCACAAAAGCATATATTCAGAAATGTCTCACTCTGTATTTTCTTTATATGGAACCTCTGAGCTCAGTCCCACATTCTTTGAACTTTTTGCCTCATGGGGAGACAATGGCTTTTATATCTCTAAGTAGAAAATTGTCTTTTTGACAGCATTAGCAATGTAGACTGTGATTTTTTCCTGTTACAGTATTGACTTTTTTTAAACTTTTTTTTCCCCCATTTATTTTGCGATGAGTCTAAAATGACAGTGAAATTATTTTTCCTGACTGTGGGAGCAAGAGATGCATGTAGGTGCAAGAGATGCATGTAATGATCTTTCTACTAGAAGACATATCACCAAACCTCTTCCATCAAGGTTTGGATAGGCATTTGGCATCTCTTTGGAAGAATAAATTGTAAATTATTTATTCAGGTGTTTGTGGCTTGTGATGGAAACATCCTGAATAGAGGATGCCCTCATCGTGATCACATTGGTGATGGGAGATCATTAATTAAAAAAATACATTGGACCGAAGAATGGAACTGCTTGGTGAAAAATTTTGGGCTAATTTCTTACAGTAACTGTGCAGGATACCAGTAAAGCAGAGCTGGTAGGTCCCAGCATGAGCTTTCTGCAGAGAGGTTGAGGATTGCTGTGGTAGTGAAACCACTGAAATGTTTATGTCTCTGTGCTAGGTTGGCTTCATAAGGAGGTTCAGAGCAGCAATAAGATGTCCTCTCTGAAGATGAAGAAGCGCTGGTTTGTTCTGACAAACACTGCCCTCGATTACTACAAGTCATCTGAGCGCACAGCTGCCAAGCTTGGCACACTTGTGCTCAACAGCCTCTGCTCTGTAGTGCAGCCTGATGAGAGGGTCTTCAAAGACACAGGTGAGAGGAAGAAAGCGGCAATGAGCAGACTCCATGTGTGGAGTTCTGAAGAGGGAATGGTGCAGGACTGTAATGGTGTGTCCTGTTGAGAAGGCAGTCTTAATGTCATCTGAGGCTTTGTGTCTGACTGCAGCCATCTCTGCCCATAGAAATTGTGAGAGGTTTGCAAAGGACCAGAGAGCAGTGTGCAAGTGACTGTAAGTCCCTCACACCTGACGGAGATACACAGTGCTGATGTTTTTCACTGAGTAATGTCACTGTGGATCTAAGTGTTTCCCAGATAGGGTAACAGGTGTGAGTTCTTACAGTTGACACTGTAATTATTGGTACCTCTCCATAAATATCTGTCACTTTGTAGCATGACCTACATTTGTCTCTGGGGTCAGTGCTATCCTCTTAAATAGTAGCAATGCCATACACTGTAAGTCTATTTTATAGCATCACTCAACTTGTTAGAAACAAAAGATAACAAAAGCCTATGTTTGCTTTCTGTGCAACATGGCACAGTTCTGGGAAGGCAGGATCTGGCATGATCCTCCATTCCTTGCTTTATGAGTTTGGGAGGGAACTCAGGTTATGGGGTAAAGGGTGAATCTCCCTGACAAAGAACGTGAACCTTAGGACAAGACTTGAAATACTGGACATCTGAGTAGTGGAGTTGCTTGGGATACTTTTTAGAAGGGTTGGAAGCATATTTAGTAAAGTGAGATGAGAGAAAATTTATTCTTCTCATTCACAAGATATTGTCTACATTTTTAATCTCAACAGATGTCTAGGGCTGCCTTTAGCAGAGAGAATTACCATCACCTTGACATGTTCTCTCAGGTTGTCAAACACATATTTTTAAAAGTTATGAGAATTGATTTGGCAATCTGACTGGGTGCTGTGTGTAGAGTGGTCATTTTCTGAGTGATTAACAGCAAAGTGTAGCCCAAACGCTGTCTGTGAAAGTGAGCTGCCTGGTTGGCAGGCAAGTAGTTGTGTTACACTGCAAGATACGTGTATCTTGGAAAGCTGTCATTGTACTAAAATCTGGATTGGGACTTTCCTACTCATAAATATGTTTTGGGAACGGGGATGTTAATGTCTGCCTAGTCAGTTTTAACCAGACATACCATATGTTGCTATCAAAGCAGCAAGGGTTTTCCTTAGCCACGAGCTACAGACAAGAAGAGAACCATAGCATCATTAAAAGTGCAAATGATCTCTAAGTTAATCATGAAGTCCAACCATTAACCCAACATAGTCAAGTCCACCACTAAGCCATGTCCCTAAGTCCAATATCTGTACAATTTTTAAATGCCTCGAGGGATAGTGGTTCAACCAGTTTCCTGGGCAGCCTGTTCCAGTGCTTGACAACCCTTTCCATGAAGAAATTTTTCCTAATGTTCAATATAAACCTACCCTGGCACAGCTTGGGGCCATTTCCTGGTGTCCTATCTCTTGTTACTTGGGAGAAGGGACAGACCCACACCTGGCCACTCCTTCGGGGATTTGTGGAGTGGTAAGGTCCCCCCCAAGCCTTCATTTCTCCAGGCTAAACACCCTCAGCTTCCTCAGCTGCTCCTCATAGGATTTTGTGCTCTAGACTTTTCACCAGCTTTGTTGCCCTCCTTTGACACTAAAGATGATCTGCTCCATAACCTTCCCCGTTGTCACGGTCAGACTGACAGACCTGTAGTTCTCCATATTCTCCCACTGGGCCCTTCTGGTTAGTGGATGTCACATTTTCTAATGTCTACTCAACTACATAATAAGGAAACAAGTTTCACCTTCCAGCTTCTTTGTTTCTCCCCAGGTTATTGGAACATCATTGTGCATGGGCGAAAGCACTCCTACAGACTGTACACGAAGCTGCTGAATGAAGCAATGCGCTGGGCCTCTGCCATTCAGGGTGTCATTGACAGCAAAGTTCCCATAGAAACACCTACACAGCAACTCATTCGTGACATCAGGGTAGGTGCCATCATGCCAATTCCCAAGTGAGTTGGGAGCAGCCAGATCACCACTGTGCAACAAAATAATCAAATATTATGTGACTTTTATTTTGAATTAGCATGTTAGCTGATCTGTGTAAGTCTAGGTTATAACTCTGTGCAATTACAAATTGCTTGCAGGATTACACCATCAAGTATTTATGAATTCCTACTTTATCCTTTCTTCTCCTAAGCATCCTCCAGACACAAATATAAAATAGTCCATTCTTACCAATCATCTGACTTTGATGTACCCTGAAGTTCTCTTCATACCTTAGGCTTGTGTGGTTAAATATCAGAGTAAAGGGTGGAAAGAAAATATCCTTCAAGATAGCAAAATTGCACCACTGTAGGAGGAGTAATTTTGAAAAGAATCTTTCCAAAAACTTTGGTAAATTAAACATGGAATCATATTAGAAGACACACTAAAACATATTTCAGAAGAAATGTGTGTGTGATGAGCTCTAAATTAGATGCAACTAGATAGTATGTATTCAGGAAGAAAGAGCTGGGAGTGACTGTAGAGAATCTTGGAAAATTTCAGCTCAGAGTTCAAGGACAGATGGAACCGTAAATATTGTCAGGGAAGGAATATAGGACAACATGTGGAGGAATGTGATACCAGTTTGTATGGTAGCAACAGGCCCAGATTTTGAACACCATGTGCAGAATTTTGGTTGTTCTTTCTGTAAACACGTGTAGTACAACCAGACAAATTCGGGAGAACAGGCTCATTATTACATACTGAACATGGTGGATCTGTGATCAGAAAGTCCATTAACCATTTACTGTTGAAAGCGTAAAGGATATATGAGGGAGGAATTATGCCACACATGCCTGTTACGTTACCTGCATTAGGTATCAGCCGCAAGCCATGTCTGAAGGCAAGATTCTGTGCTTGGTGACATGTAGTATGATGCAGCATGGCTATTCTTGTGTTTAAGATTCAGAAATAATGTACAGAGTAATTTTTAGATGCGAGTTATGCTTTGGTCACCTGGTCCCTCTATGGACCTCCGGAAATTTAGACGAAGGTGCTTGAGCTTGAACATAAATGTATGAGGACATCCTGCAAAGGACTGTCCCTGTTTGAGGATAATTACTTTTTCTCTTTTTTTTTTTTATTTTCAGGAAAACAGCACAAACTTGGAAGTAGTGGAACAGACATACAGGAGGAACCCGATCTTGCGATATACCCAGCACCCCTTGCATTCCCCATTGCTCCCACTACCTTATGGAGATGTTAGTGTCAGCTGTAAGTATTTTACCCAAGTGACAGAATCCACTCACATTTTGAGGGCCTGAGCACCACAAAATTGGTCTGTAAGCTCTCTCTGTGCAGGTGAAGTCTATTTAGGGCAGTGTAGCCCACAGGGTCCAGAGGGGGAGGAGTCCCTTTCTCTCTCCCTTTCTTCTCCGGAAGGTATGCTGTGTCCACTGCTTCTTATCATGGGAACACTGAATCTTAAAGTAAATGGGGGCAGGTAGTTTATCATCCCTCTGGGGGATGTGCAGCATGTCGTCCTTTAGCCACAACTGGGTTGCAAGTGGCTCCAGTGGAAGTACTACAAGAAGATGACATCATGCAGCTGTCAGTTGAATAGTATTCCTACAGAAGCTGATGTAAAACCAAACTAAAATGAATCCTTTCTTCAAATGCATCAGGAACATGAAAGAGCTAGACTGTGTGATAAGCAAACAGAAAACCAAAGTGATTTGCTGATGATTCCAGACTGTTTGACATACTAAAACTGAAAGCTGGTGCTGAAGAGCTATAGAAGAATCTCTAATGTGGAGTGACTGAGTCACAAAATCTTTTAAGAAATTATTTTCAATGTGGATATGCGAAGCAGTCTGCCACATAGGTAGTGATCTAGCTCTGCTTAGGAGAGTGAACACAAATTTACATAGCTTTATGAAAATGCCAACTCCTGTGGTATATGCAGAAACAAAACAGCTTACACAAGGTTTTGAAAGCTTAGAAAAGGAAAAAAAAGGTCTTTGCGCGGCTGTATTGGTGTATCATGCACCTGCATCTTGAATACAGGATGCAGTTTTGCCTTCTCCATCTTTTCAAAGATAAGTAAAAAGCTACACAAAGATGATCAAAGGCATCAAGGGACTTACCTACAATTAAGTGACTAAATAAGGTGGGATTGTTCAGCCCAGAAAGAAGATTTTAGGGACAGAAGACTGTTATGGAGAAAGTGAAAGAGTATTAGCTGCTTGCTATCTGTCGTGATATAAGGATCCAATTATGTGGCAGATTAAAAGCCTAGAAAAAATAAATTTTGAAATACAGAAAAATTACAGAGCAAGCACTTACTCTGTATAAATTACTGTACAGGGCTGTGTATTGGAATAGCACAATTCATGCATGGGCACTGGGAAAGCAGTGGCTGTACAGGAGATTCAGAAGGACCTAAAGCCCCAGAGATGTGCAAAGCAGAATGCAAGCCTGCAGCAGGATGGTATCACATATGTCTGAGCAATTCAGAGCAGACATTCAGGTGCTCAAAAAATGTAAGCAGTTTTGGTCTAAGCATTTTAAATGTAAACAATAGGTAAAAGCTGCATCTGCACAATTTCACAATTTGTGAAAGTTCTTTGTTGGCTCAGGGGTCAAAGCTAATACAGGCACAACACAGAGTTTTGAAAGTATACAAGCCAGGCTTCAGTGGCTGCATTTAGGCACCTCAGTTACAGACACTGAAGCCTGAACTAGATTTCAGTGCTTGTTTCCCTTAAAAGCATCACTCTGCTTTTCTGCACAGTATATCCAGACATGAATTTGCAGTGGTGCAAAGTGAGATGTTGGCAAACACTACTTAAAACTTCATTTGAACATTTATAGGGGAAGTATTAATGAATATTGAGGATAAATTTAAGTTCAGGATATGAACTCAGGTTGCTGTACAGAGTAGTACAATTGCTTGTAGTGTTGCTGGGCCATTAGAAAATGAGGGAGATGTTCACCTCTTGTCACTTTTGTGATTGTTTCCCAGTGCAACAAGAGAAGGGTTACAGCAGCTTACAGGATGAAGCAGTGAAGATCTTCAACTCCCTTCAGGAAATCGAGACGGTGTCTGACCCCATACCCATTATCCAAGGCATCCTACAGACCTGCCATGATTTAAAGCCTCTTCGTGATGAAGTGTACTGTCAGCTCATCAAGCAAACTAACCACATGCCACATCCCAACAGTACTGGGAACCTGCACCACTGGCAGCTGATGTGCTGTATGAGCTGCACTTTCCTGCCCAGCAGAGGGATCCTGCGCTACCTCAAATTCCACCTTCGAAGGTAAATGTCCCTTCAGTTTGCAGCCTGTTTCCTTTTACTCTGCTTATCTTCCACTGCCCCTTGTAGTTACCTATCCTGCCCTCCTCCTGTGGAAACATCTTCCTGTTGTGTTCCAGCCTCCTGCTTTTGCACACAGTTCTTGGTACTAGTTGTTCTGTGTATTCAAACTCCCCCCTTGCCATCCATCTACTGTGTCAAAAGGATGTGGCATGTAAGTTACCCAAAGAGAATACCATGAGACTGTGTTACAGTGGATTTACAGCTGATGACCTACTGCTTACTAAGGTACATATAAACATTATCAACCTGCTGGAAGGGTGAGGGCCAAACCTTCATATTCATTGAAATGTGTACTACCCTGCAGCTGGCACAAGCAAAATGTTTACTATGTACTGTAAATCCAAACTATAATTTTTCAATATTTGTTTGCTTAAGTAAGCACATAATGCTTACAATTTTTAAGTTTAATCTGCTTCAGCCTCCCATTGTCATGAACTAAGTAATTTCCATTTCTTCCCAATTCATCTTCAGCATCTAATGCAGCTTTCCAAAGCAGTCTGCGTTGGGGCTGAGCTGCAGCCTTGTAGCCTCTCTCTGTTCTTAATGATGAGAATGATGAGAAAGATCAATAAAATCTATTTAATTATTTACAAGCTAGAAAAGAGTGAGATGAATTTTGTGTCAATACACCAAATAGCTACACCCAGGGCCTGAGTCTGAGAGGTGCTGAAGAATACTTGGTGTAGCCATTTCATAGTTTTACCACTGCAGTTGCAGATATTTTTATACTTAGACATGCTGCCCTTGGAGGGAAGAGAACTGTGTACAAGCATCTACTTTCTATCTTCTTAGTTCTCAAATATACTGTAAAAGTGCTCAAACACAGCCAGTAAATGAAAAAACCATTAAGAATAAATGAAAAAAGTTTACATTGGATTTCATAGTTTTTATTCTCAGTTTTGTAAATTTAGATAGTCGATTGTACTGTCTTCAGCTGGTACTAAACTCCTGATAATTTGAACTGCTTATTTCACATGTTGCTGAGCAATGTCACTGAAGTCACTTTCAAATGACTAGTAAAAGCAGGTTGCATGGTTTAGGAAGTAAGCTTGTATTTCTTGTGGTTGCACTTGACATCAGTGTCTCTACCAGACAAGTTTCATGGTAATGTGTGGTTCAATGTGTAATGGAGTTTTTTTACTTCTTTTTACAATTAGGGTAAAAGACCTCTTTCCAGACTCAGAAATAGACAGGTATGCACAATTCATAAGTGACTCCTTGAAGAGAACAAAGACAAGGGAGTTTGTGCCCTCCCAGGAGGAAATACAGGCTCTTCTCACACGTGAAGAAATGACCACAACAGTGTACTGCCATGGTGGCGGCTCCTGTAAAATAACCATCAACTCCCACACCAGCGCTGGGGAGGTAATGCATTAGTAGCATTAACCAGATGAAGAGACACCTTTTACCCATTCATCTCCTAATTTCATTTTTTGTTGGTTTTTTTTTTTTAATTATAACTTTTTTGCTGTATCTGTAGGGAAGTTTCAGCTTATTCTACAAGGCCAGTGCCCATGTTGTAGAATATCACCTGACAATTGTGTTGCAAAATCTAAACACTTCTGGTGTTCTATCCATTGGAAAGGTACTAATTCTGAAGACTTGCTAAACACAGTTTTCTGGACGAGTAGAAATTCCAGTTCGTAATGGAATCCTTCTGAAAGGGATATTCTAGCAGTAACTTAATCACTAGCAGGTCAGACGCAAGATTCCAAGTTGCAGTAGTCATGTCTGTGAAAACATTAGTGCTCAACAGAGGAAAAAGCGGAATTGTTATTAGAGGAACTGAGAATGTCATGCCATCTGAATCCATTATGTGCCTATATCTTGTGCAGAGCTCTAATTTCCCCATCTTAAAAAGGGTAGATCTTTAAAAAGGGGAAATTGAAAAGGTTCAGAAAAGAAAAGCAAGGATGATCAAATGTAAGTACAGGGAATCATCTTTCAGGGTTAGTATTCATTATTCTGAAAATGAGGTAACTAAGGGAGAAATGTGATGGAAGTGTATGAAATCATGAGTGTCCTGAAGAGGTACTGATTTTTCAGTGTGAAAGTGTGTGTAATACCTGTTGTGTGATCTGTGTCTCTCTGATTTTGCAGGTGGTTGAAAAGTTGATCCGAGGTTTAGCAATGGAGGACAGCCGGAATATGTTTGCACTCTTTGAACATAATCAGCAGGTTGACCGTGCTGTGGAGAGTCGGGTGATTGTGGCTGATATCTTGGCCAAGTTTGAGAGGTAAAAGAATGTTTCATAAAACCTTTAATTCCTAGTTGGATGTAACACTGGATTTCAGAATCCAGGGTTACCTTCAGATTGTGAGTTGCACTGTGGACATCCCAGTACTGTGGTTCTTTTCCTTACTGTTTTTTTCCCTTCTCATTCTCTTTCATATCTTACAGACTTGCTGGCTCTGAAGAAGAAGAGGAGGGACAGTGGCAACTGTATTTTAAGCTTTATTGCTTCTTGGATATTGAGAATGTTCCCAAAGATGGGGTGGAATTTGCCTTCATGTTTGAGCAGGTAAGCTCACTTCAGTAGAGTTACCTGGTTTCCAGAGTGGCAGAAGCACATGAGTATACAGAAAATTGGCTTACCTTTCATTAGAAGAGGGAATGCTGGTTGGAACAGAAGAATTAGTGTTTTGGATTTTTGCCTGGAATCTACCAAGAAGGTACACTGTGAAGTTTTCTAGGTAAGAGGAGTATTAGAATAAAAGCAAGAAAATTAGCAAAGGCTAAAAAAAAATGTAAGACCAATGATAATAAAATGTTTTTAAACTTTATCTTTACTTTTAAAAGACATAAAAATTTGGATAATGATTCAAGATGAATCATTGAAAGTAGCTGCTCGCAGAACATAAATGTAAAGAAAACTGGAAAGTCTGCAGATCGGCTTATAAAAACAGCATACCCTTGGGGTGTTACCAGAATTAACTATGAAACCTATCTTTTGGGCAATTTCTTTTGATTACAGAGAGGCTCTAGAAGAGTATTACAGACAAAGGAAAAAAGAATGTAGTTGACAATGTTTATCTGACAAGTACTAGTCTTGTTTTTTAAGTCACTGTACTCCGTAGCACAATGATGATGCTTAGATCAGAGATCACACTGGTATGAAAGAGCCAGTTAGGGATGTAAAACTAAACTGACCGCACCACCCAGCTGTGCGATTTGTCCCATCTGTATGACTTCTAATGAACACTGACCTTGCCCCAGAAAATCATAGCTGGTGAAAATTATTAAAGATGTTATTAAAGGCATTCAGAGTCACGAAGACTGAAACTCACTGATAGTCAAATGGGTGGCATATTCATCACACAGATGAAATGAAGTATTGTCAAGTATTGTCAATTATAGAATGTCTAGAGAACGGTTGGGAACAAGACATCGTGGTGCTCTGTGGAAACTCAGTTGTACCAAACTCCCTGTTGACAAGGCTTTCAGTCTTCACAGCTTCAACTGACAAGGAGAAGTAACAGTAGGAGAGTAGGTGTTATCCAGGCGTTAAATGGATGTGGCAAACTCCCCCATAAATAGATTTAACAGAAAAACAGACAAAGGGAAGCAAGAAGATTGGGGGAGATGTTGAGTGAAAGAGGAAGAGGTGCGAACTGCTTTTGTGTAATGAAACTGAGGTTGAGAATCTTGGATTTATTACATCTGACTCTGGTGTTGAATATATTTCCACGCAGGAGCTGGTACAGCACAAAACCAAATTGCCTCAATTCCAGTCTCTCTCATCTGTTCCAGACATAAATGGTCCTCATTGTAGGACTTCCTGTGCAGGGTAGGAGCCCCTCAGAGATCTTTGTCCTGTCCAGGTTTGCAGAAAGGGTTGTTCCCCCCACATTGACCAGTTGCAGACTTTGACTTATTTATTGCAATGTCTGCTGTAACCACCTGAATTGTGTCTTTCCTACTGGGATTGGCAGATGCCATAGGAATCTGTACATGGACCCAGTTGTGAATAAAGTGTGCTTCTGCTTTCTGATGAGTCTGGGGAACTTTCTGTTTGTTTGTAGGCTCATGAAAGCCTCATAGATGGTCATTTTCCAGCACCAGAGGACACTCTGCAGCGCCTAGCAGCTCTGCGGCTTCAGTATCTTCATGGAGATTACTCCAAAATAAGTTGGACCCTTGATGGAATCTACCCAGTTAACAGACTGAAATCCAAAATACTGCACTCAACGAAGAGCAGTGGCACTACCAGTCATACTCTGGAGAGGAGACGGACCAGCTTCCTTGAAGGGACATTGAAACGTAGCTTCAAGACAGGGTCTGTAAAGAAGCAGAAGGTAGAAGAGGAGCAGATGATGGAGATGTGGGTGAAGGAAGAGCTTTCAGCTGCTCGTGCAAGCATAGCACAGAAATGGACCAAGCTGCAGGGACTCTCTCAGCATCAGGCCATGGTGAAATACATGTCCATCATAAAGGAGTGGCCAGGTTATGGGTCAACACTCTTCGATGTTGAGGTGAGCAATGTATAAACTTATGTAACTACAGGCAAGGAAAGGTATCAGCCTGAAGAACAGATAGAGCCGTGTTATCACATTGCTCAGCAGCAGAAGGGAGTTTCAGTACCTGGATGCATTTTGCCTTAGTAAGCTCAGTGTAAGCCTGCAGTACCACATACCCAAGAGTTGTGACGCAAAGAGCACAGAGCAAGCAAGCTGGGACATCATGGTAAATGAAGGGAAACAATGGGTTCCCACTTCATTGGACTAACAATGGAATTTGGGAATTTAGGGGAGGGAGGGGTTAAAAAAGTGGTGGCTACTGAAAGCAAAAGTAAACCCAAGCTCTGTTGTCCTTACCAGCAAAAACTGCAATCCTGTTCTGCAGCAGTACAACAGAAACTGCTCAGACTGGGACACTTACAGCACTGTGCTCAGTCTGCTGGAGTAGGGATCCACAGTTCCAGTTTTATCAGTTTTGTTGCTGCCTAGGTGGATCACCATGGGAAGTTGCCTGCACTCACTATATTATCTGTAAAATAAGAAGTGGAATATTGACTTGCTACATCACTTTAAAATCTGATAAGAACTGTTAGCTATTATAATTATTTACTACTCAAGTAGTATTTTACTCATAGTCATGTCATTTCTGAATCATTGCAGCAGAAGTGCCTCCAACATACCTTCTGCAGACATTTTTTGTATTGGGGTGAAGAGTTGAAATGTCCTACAGGAACTAAAGACAGAGGGCTTTTCCTTGAATCAAAAATTATTTGATTCTCCACTGCATTTATGCAAAAGGTCATGTTTCTCTTTCTGCAGTGCAAGGAGGGTGGATTCCCCAACGATCTCTGGCTTGGAGTCAGCACAGAGAATGTGTCTGTCTACAAACGAGGGGATCCTAAACCTCTAGAAACTTTCCAGTATGAGCACATTGTTTTCTTCGGAGCACCACAGCCTAACACCTTCAAAATTACAGTGGATGAGAGAGAAATGTTCTTTGAAACATCCCAGGTATGTGAAAGCACAAGACTTGCTGTATGTTCAGTTTTATTGCCACTTCAGTTAAGCTCCAAGGAATAGACAGGTTTCTTTGCAAGAACTCTTGACTAGTGGACTAAGCCAAGGGAAGAGATGAAGGGAGCTTAAGCCTAAAGGGCATGGTACCTCTTGTTGAATACAGGGATAAACAAAAAAAAATATGCTAGTTAGAAAGTGAAGGAGGTTGAATGGTCTTCCAGTGCATTGAGAAGTTCCATTTTTGGGTGCTCATGATTGTGCCTGGTTTTTTCATTCCCTTCCAATAGATGAATGGGTAATTCACAAATTAAAAAAAAAAAAAAAAAAAAAAAAAAAAAAGAAAGTTTTGTAGCACTGAAGTTGCTTTTCTTTGAGCTAAAAATCTTTTTAAGTGTTGTTACAACAGACCACAAACTTGTCAACCATTTCTTTTCCTACTGTCATGTTCACATTTAGTATTGCATGCAAAATTTACTGTGCCATGACTTTGGACAAGGGAGTCTTTTTCAGCAAAATGTCCTGTATGACTCAGTGGACTGAGGTTTTTAATGTGCTTATCCTCTGTTACTGTATTCTCTCTCCAGGTGGGCGAGATAATAAAGATCATGAAAGCATACATCAACATGATTGTGAAGAAACGCTGCAGTGTCAAATCAGCCACCAGTGTGGACAGTCACGCAAGCATCTGGACTAGGTGATACGAATGAACTGGCAGTAGTTTAGTGATGAGGATTTGCAACTTGCCAGCACAAGTGTAGCAAAGATGTTTTCTAAGAATTCAGCTGACTACTGTATTCGAAACCTGAAGTGACATCTACAGTACTATAGGATTTGCACCTCTGCCCAAAGACATTAAACAGTAACAACTGTTGTTAAACACTAATGACCCAAAACTTGTTTTCCCGTTGCTTGTTTGATGAACAGTGTACCTTAAAGAAGCAAAGTCAGAAGCATCCTCGTTCTCCTTCAGTGTCCTCTCTGCTGCTTTCACCATTACTTGTCATGCTGGCAGAAAAATTCACAAGAATCATTTCTGCAAGACAGGAGACAGACTTAAGCTTCCTTCTGAATTTTGAACATCCAGACATCTGGGATCATGTGATCATAGCATGGTCTGCTAAAAGAATATTTGTTTTATTTATTTTGCGAGCAAACCTAAAATATAAGTCACTGTGGTTTGGTTTTTTTTTTTTTTCTTCAGGATACACTAATGATCTGATCTGGTTTTGAACGAAAATGCCTTTGTGTAGTTGAAGCCAAGTGGTCCAACAGAGAGGTCAAACCCTACATGAGAGAGCATTAAACAAACAAATAAAACCACCCAAGGTGATTATTTACCTTCCAATAAAAGTTCACAGGTACATGACTATAAAAAGTGGCACTTTCAGTTAAACTACTAAATACTCCAACATAGGAGAAAATCTTTGGGACTAGCACCACTGCCATTCCAGGCACATTGTAAGCAGCACCTATTGCCTAAAAAAAAATTACTGCCTTTCCCCTGTACAGTGTAAGAGAGAGATTGTTTTATTAGCATTTCCAGAAGAGCTGCTCTTCACAAACTCCAGGTATTAGATGGAGGTTGGAGGTTTATGTTGACCAGCCTGCCTGCGTTAAGATCCTTCGTTCTCTAGATGGGATTTTAGGATGACTGGGGTCCCTGAACTTTAGTTTTAAAGTGAACTGTTTCCTAGTGAGTGAATAGATGCCTAGATAAATTGTTATAGGTAAGATTTTCACTTCTCTATACAACTGTAAGCAAATGCCAAACCTGTCATCCACTTACAGCTTTTAACAGGAACTGCTTGCATTATGGAATCCCCCAATCCTTTTCCAGTCTCGTCTAGGTCCCTTGTCCTCAGCAGAACTTGAAAACAATGCTGTTTTGCCAAAACAACTGCTTCTTGGAGGTATTTATAGCTCCTGCAATTTGAAGAAGCAGAATTTTGATGACAGTCATCTTCAGTCTCTTGACCTCAGAAACTTGACTTCAGTGTTTAAAACAATATTCAGTATCAGTCACATCAAAAATTAGTTGAATTAGAAAACAAGAAAGCTGGTGGCGAGCCATTTTCTATGACTCTTGTCTAGTCTTGGGATCCCAGAATGCAAAGGCCCATTCTGTTTCTTAATGAAACTGCAGAACTGTATGTAATGTGGGCCTTGTTCCACGTTTAATATTGTCTGTCTCCATTTCTGAAGAAGTAGTAGCTAAGGTGTATTAGCTATGAAATAAAAATTTCATAGAAAAGCAGGAGTCAGTACGGAGCAGATTCCATTTCATCATCAGATTGTGCCATGTCACTAACACTGTGTCACAGAACACTGTAATTTTGAGATTGACAGTACAAGAAGAAACACTGTACATAACCCATACTCTTCTCTTGTTTCCATTACACTGCAGCACGTGCAAACACTGTGCACTTGCCACATGATCAGCCTAAGAGGATAGCCACTGCTGTGCATCATACTTCAGCTGGAGTTTTGCCTTAAATAGCTTTACTGAAGGATCCTATAAACACCCCCTTGTTGTCACAAGGAATAAAAAGATGACCAGGTCACAAGTGAGAAACACGAATGCAGAGGCAGCCTGAGAAGCAACCCGTTGTATCGAACCGTACACTGACTCAATCTGTTATGTATCAGACTAGTCTTGATTATCCCTGTTCTAACTGCACTAGCTCTGTGTTCTGGCTCTTGGGTTGCTGCAGGCAGCTTGAACCCACTTGAAACATAACTCCACTACTATTTGTTGTAACTTTGCTCATTTCTATTACAGAATTCCTTCTTCTGTCTTTTTTAATTTGTAACTGGCTTTACAAGATGAAAGTTTAATAAATTATTGGATTGCACAGGCTGTATTCACTCATGGGCGTTGTGTGCCCATATTAAGGTGTTTACTCAGAGATCTTAACACTCAGAACTTGTAAGTGAAAAGTAGGCATCACTGGCATGAGGATACAACAACCCTTCACCACAGAAGCAAATTTTGCCTTTGGGGTGAATTACAGAAAATAGTTTGCTGCTACAACGGGGAAGGTTTGTTTCTAGTTTCTGCTATTCTCTCTGGGGATGAATTATAACTTTTGTTAGTGGGAGATGTCCCAGTGGTTCAGAGATGGGTATTGTGGTGAAAGCAGCAAAAGAAGTGAATCATCTTCCAAGGCCCAATCTGCAGGATCAGCTCCATCCCTTCTCTTCAGCACCTCCAAAGTCACTAATAACAGAAAATCACTTCTAGCTCAAATAAGCTGCCATCTGCACTTCACACACAATTGCATGACCGAGCCACAGTGCTCACCTAAGAGCTTGTGTCACTGAAGTGGTAAATCAGAACTGAGGGCAGCAATACAGACAGACCATCCCACTAGCAGACAAAAGTTCCCTCAATCCGTGCACAGTTATGGAAACCAAGCAGTGATGCATAATCCCTATCATCATACTCTCCTATATTCCTTGGCCAGATGCTCTGAGGGCCTTGGGACTCTGCAGATTGGTCTATGCAATTTGATTTCCAGCTGTTCCAATATTCTTTTTTCTCTATCACCTTGCACAGACTGTCCTTATTCGAGGTTGGAACTGCCTCTGCTTACTTCAGCAGTTGCTTTTCTTCCTTCAGCTGTTACATTCCTGTCTATCTGCTTCCAAAACCACACTGGCTCTGCCTACTTTCTGCTTAGGAAGCCTTATGTCACACACAGTCAGCTACTGGTTGGTTGTGCAGAAGGTGTCAAAACCAAACCCAGGCTGCACAGCCCTCATGTCTCTCCTGAATATCCCTCTTGTGATAAAGCACATCAGGGTCTGGCATGGCCTGTCCCTCTCATTCACTGCTTCCTGGGCTGCCACCAACTGAAGCCAAATTTTTTCTTGGTGGCAAACTCAGAGGCCAGCCCTGTTCCCCATGGATTGAAGCAGGAACAAGCTAGCCAGTCTCCCTTCTGTGCAGCTGTTGAATTTCAAACTGCACTTGTTTCATCTAATACATCACTATCATGATAGCAAACATGCACCACTGCAGGTCCAGCATGACTACAGCAACATGCGTGAATGCATTTATGAGTGGCAGCCATGAAAAAAACCACCCAAGGTGGCAGCCAACTAAAAGCCCTGTCACTCCCTTTTTAATTCTGCTTGATCACCTTGTCAGTGTAATGTGCAGTCCCTTTGGGACTCCACTCCAGTATTTCTCTAGTAGTTAATTCAAATGTGAATGTTCTAATGTTTATTTTATATGAACAAGTTTCATGCCAATTTATAATCAGCACCTACGCCATAAACACAAAATGGTTTATATACAAAGACACAGCCTCTGGTAAGTTGTATCACAAGGTCGTCTAGTTATTAAACCAGTTTGTCTGTAAACTTCAGCTGTTTATTTATACCTTGTTCTAAAACACACAGCCTTTCACTGTGTAGGCTGTTTGTTCTATAATTACTCTGTGCATTGGCCTCAAAATTTCATTCTCCCCTTGGGCCTTTAGGCAAATCCCTCACACATGAATTCCAGCCCCCACTGTAAAATATACACTCCTAAATCAGTGGAATGCAAATTTGCTAGGCTCTTGGCCACTTTTTATACCAGAGATTCCTAAGGCACAACTGGATATACACTTTGGCCCTGTGGCACTGTCAACACTGAGATGAATGCCAATAACTGGATTGCCAGTGAAAGTCACTTACCTCCATCCGCCTATCCAGCACTGCCCTTCAGCACCACTGGACAGCCTTCACACCCACTGGGCAGGACTCAGTCTCACTGGGCACCTGGACTTTGCGCTGGTGTTTAGGTCTGAATGCAACCCAGGGCACATGCATTAAGTTGGGCGATTCTTGGTTCTTGACAGATTCACTACCCTGCTCTGGCTCAGGCAGCCTGGCTGGCTACAGAGCACAGCTGGCTGGTAGTGTGCCCAGCTCCACCTCCTGCCCATGCTGCATCCAGGGGCAGGTCTGGGGCCCCTTGCAGCCCTCAGGCACTGGCCCATGCACAACGGTGCCTCAGGCCTTCCTGTGCAGGCTCAGGATTACCAATATAAACACGTTTTTCCTGTAAAAGCAAACACTTGTAACTCCTGACTGACTTCTAATGAAATAGTGACAGCCTGTCAGGATAAACTCAACTGGCTCAGTAACAGGTTACACACTGGGCAGAGTTTTTGCAGGTCCACTACTGAGGCACACACATCAGTAGGAGCAACTTACCTGCCTTGCTTCTTTTTCCTGTTGCAGTGTGAGGCTGAGGGCAACTCAGCTGCTCCATGTTTGTGCCCTCTCAGGGTGTGCCCATGGGCACAGGGGTATTTACACTAGGAGCAATCTCCTCCCAGCTCCCCTGGGATGGCTGAATCTTGGTAAATTGCCCTCTTTGAGCAAAGCAATACAAAGGAAGACCTGCAAGGCAAGACTGGTGGGGGGTACAAAGGCCTTTAAGCATTTACAAATGCCCTTAATCAGCATGGCAGGAGGTGCCCTGGCTGAAGAAGGAGGGGAGGTGTGGAAGGAGTCCCTCAGGGCTGGAAGAGAGGAGAGTTGTCTCCTGACCACAGCAAACTCCTCATTGTTGTGTCTTGAGCACTTGGGCAAGGGTCAAGAGAGCTGCTTTCTCCCTGGCTGCTGAAAGAGGGGAGAGGAGCTCGCAGAGGAGGGGAACAGACCTGCCAAGGCTGTGGTGTCCTGGTGTTAGAGGATGTTCCAGCTGCCCAGAGTGGCTGTTCTGGCCCTTTCTCTGCACCCTGTGGCAGTGTTGTGGGGCTGTTGGTGGTGTTCATCCCAAGTGTTTCAGGCCTGTGGCTGCACTCTGTATAGGAAGTGGTGCTTTCTGGTCTCTGTTCCTGGCAGCTTCTTGCACTGGTGTTAAGGCTGCCCGATTGGCTCTTGTGTCTGTGGTGGTGTGTTCTCCATTTGGTGGTGCTGCAGAGCTGGTAGGAGAAAGAACAGGTACAAAGAAGAACGGTGGCCACAGGAGACAACATAGGAAACCCAGCCCTCAAAGCAGCTCCTGATCCTGGGTAAATGTGACTTCTATTAGCCACACACATATAATTCATTCTCATGTAACACAAGGTGCTCTTCAAATACCCAGATCACGTTTATGAAAATAAAGATATTTTAATGAAAGAGAAAGCAGTTTGGTTGCTAATGGGGATGACATTCAATCATGCATATTTATAAAATCATCTCAACCCATTAAAGTTTAATTTGAATATGCATAAAGGCTTGTTAGCTTTTATGAAGTATAGCACCATGGTTTTGTAAACTTATCTGCTCTATATAATCTCTTTGAAGGAAACTATAACACATAACATCTGAAAAGAGAAGTTTTATAGAAAGCAGGAGCAATACTCTTACTATCCATTTGAGCATCCTGAGAGTACAGAAAAAGATCTGTTCTCACTGGTTTTAACAAAAAATGCACATGTAAGGGGCCAGCATAGTGAAGAAAACGCATTTTGAAATAATTCTTTTCTATTGCTGAAACTCCACTTTTTTAAAAGCCACCTTGGAGTAAATTATTCTATTTATGCTAAAAAGTAGCAAAACAAAAAAATTACTGTTGTTCTGTTTGTAATTATAGTCCCTGCTGCATTGGCAAAAAGCAATCCATAAGGACTTACCGTCTGTGTTGCATTACTGCGTAAGCACAATAAAAACGTCATCTGGTATCCTCTCCTACCCCTCAAATCTGTTAAAAATCTTAAGTTACTGACAGATATTATGACAGAGTGCACAGGAGTTTTCAATGTGAAAATACCATTGTTGTGGCTTAGCCATAAAGGAATAAAACCAAGATAACAGCATTTTATAATGGCACTTATGTTATGCACCATTTGGAAGTTAATTTGCTATTAACAGAAAATTACCTTCTTTAGCGCTTTGTCAACTCCCATCTTAAAACTCCAGAACTAAATGGGAAAGGTCCATTAGAGTGACAATTGAATTTTACTCTCCTGTTTTTCCTAAGCTTAGTTCTTCAATATTGCTCACAGTGAATTTGCTTTAGAACTGTGCAAAGTCTGTTTAATTTGGTCAATAAGAACTTTATATACTTCTTGGCAACACAAGGAATTTGACTGACTTCTAGAAAGCTGGGTTTTACATATCCCACTGTGCTCCAAACACACAGCAACAGCAGACCCATAAAGGGTCCAAACTGTAGTTCTGACTTTTAGCAACAAAAATTGTAATGTGTGGTCTTAGTTTATTTGCAGCCACACCAAAAAAATACCACTGGCACGCCACGCAATTTACTTCCTCCTTTCAAAAATGTTTAGATGCATAACATATGTACAGAGCAATGAGCAGATGGTGCATTTGGTTTAAGGGAAAAAATGCTGAGAAGTACAACAAAAGCATCAGGCCCAAACGGTGCTCAAGTGTAAACACTTCTTGATTTCTATGTCAATTAAGTTACTGATGCAGTAATACGCTAAAATAAAAATCCTGGCTGGTGTAATGGCAGATGTGGATTAACCTTTCTATTATCCAGAGTCTCCAGGGACTGGGCAAAATTCAGGAAGAGGAACTGAAGTTGTATATTTTTTCCCTAGAGGTACCACAGTCTGTGGTCAGTCTGTGCTCTGGGATGAAGGATGCTTTCTCAACTCCATTGCTCTGGGACCTGGGAAAGCACTTCACTTCTCTGCTGCCATTTCCCTGTGCATCATCTTCAGTTATGTTTGTGAAGCAGATGACCTTGTTAGTCATCTTACACAACAGGATGTTTCTCCCAGCAAGCTATTACTGGAGATAAAAATAACATTGCCCCTTGACCAGCAGTTGCAGATTTTAGAGCTCTGGAATTCAGACTTCATATGGTACGTAAAATGAATACATCTCATGCTTTAATTGCAAGTGTTAACTTGGCTGGAAGTAATTTAACTTTGCCCATATTTTATGAGAAGTTATGTTGGAAGCCTTTATACTTTGCTTTGGAGTTAATTTGGGCCTCGACGTGCTAATGAACTACACCTTGATTAAAACAAAACAGCACAGAGGAATGTTCACTTACTGCGTAAGCCTGAAGCAGCTTGATAAAAGCTAGGTATAACCAAATTCCATGATAAACTAAGTTTTCAACTGCAAAAAGAAAGTTACCAGCATTCTTTTTAAATACATCAAAGATATTTATTATCTCTAAAGTTTTCTTATCATTACTTGCCTTAATTCCGATCACAGCCCCTGTGCTATGTGCTTTTTTACCCAGTGATTAATGAGCTGTTCCTTAGCTCTAATAACTGCTTCCATGGAAATAAAACCAGTGTAAGCAGTTTAGTGGTTTATTTAACTTTATTCTTTCAATAACGGTACTCCTAAATAATCTGTGTATTTCAAATGAAGTGGGTTATTCACCTGCACTAAGGCCATTGTGCTTACTCAAAAAAGACTTACCAGTGATTAGACAACTTGGGTATGATGAAACAAACATGAGAAATGGGGCCTTAAAAAATTATTTACATCATTCATAAGAATAAAATATAAATTTTTTAATAAAAAGTATATATTCTTTTGTATTGAATTAGGATTTTACTACCAATTGACACTTTACATTTCAGATTCACACCTAAAAATGCTCAAAGTATAAACATCTATAAAACTAGCAAATCTCAAAACATGGGAACTTCTAAATAATTCTCCCCACTTTTTACTGTAGGTAGAAAAACACAATAACCAACACTTTTTCTAGTCCATTAAGTTAAAAGTCATTTGGCAAAGCACTTAGGCATATAAGCTTAACCAGAAGACATCAGGAACCAGGCTTTGCAACGTTTCAAACACTTCTCATACCAGGGTAAGCTAAAGAACGAAGGTTATTTTCATTACACAGTAACTAACATCAAAACTACTTTTTCTATGAGTTATCTCTGGAAAGCAACTGTTCACAATTGTGCCCAAAGTACCAAACAAACAACAAAAGTGCTTTACTTCTTTGATCAGCAAACTACCACAATGGCTCCTTTAAGTTGCCCCTTTCAGGCTGTTGTTTTAACAGGCTCAAAGAGTTCTCTATTTCTCAACACAAATGATAAACATTCGCTTATCAAAATAGTGCAAACAGGAACAAAGAAAAGTGCCATCAACGTAAGTAAACTGCAGGAAAAAAAGGCAGTTGAACATCGCGACCTCGCACCGCTGCTTCAGAGAAATCAGTAGTACTCTTCTCAGCACGTCAGTCCAAATGGATTCCCATTTACCATCTCATGACACCACCACATGCAGAACGGATTTGGTTTTTTGCATATCCTCCTTCATAAAAGTAAATGCGCTTGTTCTTTGTACTGTGCATTAAAAAAGTCAAAAGACTTCTTCAAAACATTAATTGATCAAATCATTTAGTAATTAATATATACAACTCTGTCTTCCCTTTTTT